CGTCGCTCATATTTGGAGCTTTTCCACGTTTTAAGTTTGTTAAAATCACCCACTTCCAATTTTGCAGTGCAATGTCCTTTAAAAAGGTATAATAGGTAATAATAATATTATAAGGTAGGTATATTTTTATTACTTACAATTTTTTTTATAAAATCTACCTATCCTTACGACTACATTCTTCCTTGCGAGAACAACATAATCTATTTGCGTCCGTTCATAGCACCCGGAAACTTATTTTATTCTTTAGAACATGGGCAGTGGCGGCGACCTTTGACATGAAAGCGACGGCGGCAACACAAAGTCTAGAAGCGGACTAAATTTTTACCTATTTTGGTGGGGTTGTCAATGTTGGCAACCCCACAATGTCAATGTTGGCACAGAAAAATAAAATTAAGTAAACACAACGTTTATCCACTTTTTAATAACTCGGTATCCACGATAGAATATTTTTTCTACTTATTTCCTAAGTACTGTCTAAATATCTTTTTCATAATTTTTGTTTTTCAATAATTTGTTGTGTGTAATTGAATGGTAAACTCTAAATCTTACTAGAGAGCTTTTTTAAAATAAACTTATTGAAAGCATTAACATGGCATAATATACACTTTTCAATCTTGCTGCTCACATTTTAGTACCTAAGTATCACTCTCTATCTATCATTTACCGATATTAACAATGATTATTTCGAAATCAAAATATTCGCAATTCAATAGATGCAATACCTACTTAGTTATTAATTATCATCTCGCCCGACAGCTTTTAACGCTGTAGTGTTCGAATTCAAGCCAGGCAGTGTGAGAATGTATTTAAATAAAAGAAACACAGAGCATTCAATTTATACCTTCCTACTGCTGGGACATCTTCAAGGTCATTTAAGGCTAACCAACCCTACCAAAATAGGTAAAAATTTGTGTGCCTCTGTCCGTACTCTTTGTCGGCGAATGCGGCGCTCAAACAGTGTCAAATGCTGTGATACACTTGTTGCAAACCGCGGCGTCTTTGTCGGTAAATTATCAAATAAGTAGGTATATAATACACCGACCGACCAACAGTTTATTCGCAGAACGTCACATTTCCCCAATCAACTTTGAACCTTAATTCCTTAGCGATAAACTTGAAAATCTGTTGAAGAAATTTGATAGATTATTTTTATTAGTAGCTTGATGTGCTGGCGTCTGTACCATAATATTGGGTGCTGTAGAAACTGTTACTAGACCTACTCGACTCGCTGTTAGTTTTAATTTAACCTACATGATGTTTATATAATTTTGTTAGCTATAATTTTAAGCACATACCAACCTACGAGTACTAACATTAGATCTGCACATTAGACATAAACAAGCATAACATATTATTATAGGTAGATACCTACAAGGTATGAACTTTGCTATAAAGTTATTCTAGGTAAATTTTATCACATGGGATGGTGGGAACAGATTTGTGAGTATTAACACGCTACTTAATAAATTGTTGAAATATAATAAGTACTTACCTACCTAATCAATACAATACGTTTCATGGTGCTTTCAGACGAGCGGCACGTTGCCAACTGCAGCCCTTAGTTTAGTGTTAGGATATGTGATACCTACGGTTTTGATACTGGGGAACGTTTCTCAAAATCGGGATTGAAACCAAATACATTAGGTATTTGATTTAATAACGCCCAAATCTCAGTTTGTCTTAACTGCAAGACGCAAGATTCTTGCAGGCTTAAGTATTGTCTTGCTCAAGTCTTGCAGGGTTCAGTCTTGGTATTGGTCTTGCTATAATAAGGCGGTCTTGGTATTGGTCTTGGTCTTGCGGGAACGCAAGAACAAGACCAAGACTGCAAGACCAAGACCGATTTTGGGCAACACTAGCACATACTATGCAACACTGACTGAGCTTTGGGTTAGCTGTTGGTATGCACGCTATTTATTTCTAGCTTAGCTTAGCCTAGCTTGCTTGGCATAGCTTAGTTTAGCCTTGGCATAGCTTAGTTTTCGGTCTGCAACCGGCTTAAGGCTGGTCCAAGTCTAAGCCAGTGTTTCTCAACGTGGGGTCCAGGCCCCATTGGGGGGCAATTGATAAGGGAGGCTGATCGAAAATTTATTGAAATTATTTGGAATTTGGATTTCAGTTTCGTTAACAATTTCTTCCTCAAACCTATCATTTAAGTTTCTTAAGCAAACAATTATTTTTTTAGTATTGAAGATTATGTATGTTACATAGGGGGGGGGGGGTCAAAGGAATTTTAGAAAGTATGGAGTTTTTCCGCAATTATAATCAGAATCATACGGAATTAAATACCGTCAAAACATCTCAATAGATTAGGAAGGATGTTTCTAAAAAAGGCCAAGCATTTGTCTAAAGTTTCCTATATTTTTGTACTCGTATACGCGGAAACTGATGCAAATTTAACCGCAGCGATTTAACCGCAGCGCGACCTCATGGGTTGATCAATAAAAAGCATATATTAGTATGAATCATTTAATAATATAAACAAATGTGAACAAAGTACTTCCGAACTAATACTCCCTAATGTGGGAACTAGCGATATATGAGTTTTGTCACAACCCATTTGTCATAAATAAAGTTTTTATTATTATAATAAAAGAAAGTAGACTAATAATATCAGGAAGTAGAATAATGACGATACAAAAAAACACTGTGCCTTTTGAAAATATAGTTAAGTAACGTGCAATTAGATAAAATATTATATAGCATTAATATAATATATATTATATATATTTTTTTTTATGCTACTGAAGTTAAACGGGCTGAAGGCTCATCTAATGTTAAGTGATACCGTCGCCAATGGACACTCACACTGCCAGAAGTCGAATTGGTTCGGAAATACTTAGTGGGCAGCCGGTTCCACATAGTGGTGGCTTCCACAAAAATTACTTTAAGAAACTCTCAGTAGTGGAACGACGGACGTCGAGGTGATACGGATGGTATTCTGCCTTGATGTCCGATGATGAAACTCTGCTGCAGATATTGATCCGAACAAATCCTCTGAACACTCACCATGGTAAATGCGGTGATAATACTTTTTGTTATATAACCAATTTTATACACCGATATATTTCAGAAATGTAAAGATATTTTCGTATTTTATATTAGCTATGCTGTATACTATAAACAGTCTGTAAAAAACCGGAAGCAAGCTAAAACCGGTATTTTTTAAGATAACTTTTAAAAAGATTCCCTTATTAAAAGGACTTCTTGACGTAATAAACAAACATTTAGTTTATAGTTTTCTCATATGTATTGTAAAGATATTTAGTTTATTTGTGACAATGCCCGCATCAAAATGATTGGCTGTCGGGTCGCAGTCTGTCAACTAATAAAAATGTCATATTTATAAGAAGCATTTATTGATATTATTACTAATTATTCTTATTATAAATTCAATCTTTGGCATTGTCTTAAACTATTTACTAATAAATTAACTTATGCTAATTACACTAGAAATACCTACTCGCTAGAGAAAAATCTGAAAAAAAAAAAAATATTTATGCGCAATTTCGGCAAATTAAAAATAATTCAATTTTTCAAGGAAATTCAATTAAAAGGAATCATTATTTCGTAAGAAAAAATTCACTGAATACAATTATAATCTGTTGTACATTTTAAACGCCTGTTATAATACAAACAAAATAAAATAAATCAGTGGCGCTACAACCTTTTAGGTCTGGGCCTTAGATTGCTGTATCCGTTTCATAAGCATTTGTCGATCATGTGCCTGACATACGCCTTCGACTCTTTGGGTGTAAGGCAAGCCGGTTTCCTCACGATGTTTTACATTACCGTTCGACCGAATGTTAAATGCTCACATAGACAGAAAGTCTGATTGCCGAGAATCGAACCTAATACCTCAGGGATAAGAATCGCACGTTCAAGCCACTAGGTCAACAATGTATCTCACAAATTTATATTATCATAGGATAAATTTTTGAGTCTTGAAAGATGACGGTTTCCTTACTTTTCTCTTTATAGGCCAGTCATTATAGACATTCGAAATCGAAAATTTGATAATAATTCCAAAAGTTTTCTGTATGGTCGTGAAAAAAATTCCAAAAGTTCTGCAAACTTGGGGAAGTTTTCGATATAATATTTCATATCACGTATAAAATTTGCAACCAACCTAAGTGTACGGAACATTTTTTGTTATTTATTTTATTTTCGATATATCTGTCAAATTTGCAGAACTTTTGGAACGTTTTCCTTCAGTTTAATAAAGAACAACATTAATTAAATAATGTTCCGTACACTTAAATTGGTTGCAAATTTGACACGTGATGTAAAATAATATATTTAACACCACTCCAACTTTGCAGAACTTTTGGAATTTTGGTCTCAAGAACTAAGCAAATTATCATTTATTGCATTTTTAACAATGTTCCGGACCGCAGAGCAGGTTGCAAAATTTTATAGTTTGTTTTAATACCACTCCCGACCTTACATCAAAATTTGAAAACTTTTGGAATTATTATGAATTAATTGTCTTGACTGACTGGTCTATTACGAGCGAGTGACATTTGCGCACATAACACATGTGGCGCCTGTTACAAAAGCAATAGCAATTATTTCTTCGTGAATATTTCAAATTACAATCTCTTATTTTTTTTATGTCTTCTTCTGTAAAGGACTTCTTTATCCTGCTTAGCAAAAAAAGGAAATTGTTTCCTGTTTTGGACTCTATTTAAAGGTATATAAGTAGAATTGTCAAGTCGCATTTAGATTATGTACTGGGAGCTATCTTCACGGTCGTACCTATTCTTCATTGCTGAAGGCACTGCTAGTGATATCTCTCCACTTTGTTCGGTCTGGCCTTTTGCCAATTATTTGGTTCGATATGACCCAACTTAGAAACCGAAAGCTATATAAAACGTAAAAGTTTGAACAGAATACGGATAACATTTTTATTATATTACAATGAAGGTACTTTCACGAGATTTTGGAATACCCTCATTGTCCTAAAGATTTTATAAACATTGAAAATCTTAGACTCTTAGTTATAACTTATGTCCTAAGCTCATAGCAGTACGTCTAATCCAGCTGACATATGACGCAACTCGCGTATAAACCCCTGGTCGGGCCCTACGGGCACAACCAGAACCCCAAGACACGACCCCGTGAATCTGCCATCTGTCCCCAGACATACAGGCGAGTGGACCTCCAGAATCCCCACGACAAGCGTCTACTCCGCCTGATAGGACCCCTGAAAAGGTTTAAGCTGGATAACTTGATCGATGTACTTCAAAGCCAACAAAAAGAAAAATAAAATCAGTGGCGCTACAACCTCTTTAGGTCTTGGCCTCAGATTTCTGAATCTGTTTCACGATCATTTTTAAATCTAATAAGTAAAGGCAAGTAGGTGATCAGCCTCCAGTGCCTGACACACGCCGTCGACTTTTTGGGTCTAAGACATGGCGGTTTCCTCACGATGTTTTCCTTCACCGTTCGAGCGAATGTTAAATGCGCTCATAGAAAGAAAGGCCATTGGTGCACAGCCGGGGATCGAACCTACGACCTCAGGTATGAGAGTCGCACGCTGAAGCCACTAGGCCAACACTGCTCGAAGCCAACCAGTCTGTTTTATATTTTAAAATCATATCAAAAACAAAGCACATTGACTTTGCCGCGTTCTACACGGAAATATTTATGCCCACATATATAATTTACAATCAATTTTTTTTAATGTCGGTCGTTTCAAAAATCGTTTTTGATAAGCGCAAAAAATTAATCTTTTAAAACATGTGCGTGCTAAAAAATTTTAAATAAACTTTAACGATGTACAACTTACAAAAGATTTGTTAAGGAATACATTTATTTAATTTCAAATGTGGGTTTTGAAGAAATATATATATTTAATGAACAACCGTTACTCACCAGCACATAGCATAGAGTCTAATATGGTCTGCTGCCGTCCTCCTAGAACCTGTTCCTTTCTGCAAGTGGCCAAGTCGAGGATTGGTACAGCAGCAGCTCTTAGTATAGGAGCAAATTTTTGCTCTGTTCCCTCTGAAAAGGGATTTCCAGAAATTTTTCAATCCTTTATAGTAACAGCTAGTTTTAAGCTTTGCATTACGTTCCTTGGAGACCTCGTATGTCAAAAAACCATTTATTTTTTATTTTTAGACTCTTATGTCATTTAACTGGTATAATCATGAATTAAGGACTTATTCATGTTATTCAAGTCCTTTTTACCATCTAAAACTATGGACAGAAACACATAATAATATTTTAACAAACATTGACGAAATGAAACATTTTATTGTTTTAATGTTTGGTTCTTTGGACATACGAGGTTATCATTCTACAGCGACGAATTTATAATTTGGTTTAATACTTTGATAGGATAAAGTAACCCGTCGGGTGAGAGGTTGTGTTGTCGGCTCTTTATTTATTTATTAAAGTACACCAGCTACATAATGCTATATCTACCTAATCAAACTATCTTTTCTAAAATACATGACAATTATGGTAAACATTAATGTTACCAAAAATTAAAATATTACACTTCCAATTTTAGATTTTACTAGCAATCACTAGAACAACAGCGGATGCTTTTTTTATTTTTTTTTAAATTGATCAGCCTACTATGTCAAGCTCTGAATAAGTAGTGTTAAATCTGTTGAATTCGAATGAGAGGTGCCTGATCTCCTAGATTGGTTTTTGCAGACGGTTTTTGGAAAATTCTGCTGATTCGACAAATTTAAATGTAAATTCGATTCTACTAAAATCAATTATTATAAAGAACACATAGAAACAAATGTTTGATTTAACTTACTAAGTAAAGTTATTATCGAATTATTACTAAATCAGGCAATTTTTACTTTATTACTTACCTTCCTGGTACCCCCATCCACTGACAGCGCACCACCGGCCAGCCGTATCCAATGTATCCGGGAGACAAATGGGTCTAACGTGTGAGTTGAACTGAACTCCAGACCCTGAACGTGCCACTAGGACCAGGGCAATGTCGTTCGAGTGAGGACCGTCTGAAGGAGAGATTATTTTTATTACGTCTTCAGTATTTGAAGGTATTACAAGGTAATTCTTAAAATTTTGAATGATTATCTAGATTCTAGTTCATGCTTTTGATGTAAAAATTGATTTAGAGATTTTTCGCATCTCGATCTCTATGAAAAAAGCCAGTGCTAAAACCTTTTTAGGTCTGGGCCCCATATTGCTGTATGTTTCATTTTTTTTTTTTTAGTTTCATGTTTGTCTACAGGAGAAAAACTTATAAATACTAACTTATACTACTAAATTACGCTAGTTATATAAAACAAAAATAGTCAGGTTTATTATTTTGTCAATAAAATAATTGTTTGTCAATTTAATAGGTGAGTAGATAGATTGGCCTTCTGTGCCTGACACCTTCGACATTTTTTCCTTCACCGTACGAGCTAGTATTAAACATAGACAGAAAGTGCATTAGTAAACAGCCCGAGATTGAACCTACGACCTGCGGGATGAGAGTCACACACTGAAGCCACTAGGTCGATACTGCGACTTCTTTGATTGTGGTCATTTATTCACACAATAAGAACATCGCAAGGAATCCGCCCAAATCCCAAAAGTCAACGGCGTGTGTAAGGCGAATGAATTAAAAATATATTTTATTTTACGATATTCAGCTTCAGATATGTGATTGGTGTATCTGTCGCAACATACAATGAAATGTATGGCATGTATGGCCGTAATTTAGGCCGCTAGCAGTGGCGTAACTATACCATCTGGTGCCCGTGGCAAATTCTTTTGATGGGGCCCTATCAGTAAAAATCGTCACGTTGTACTCAGTTTAATTTTAATAAACTGAGATTTTCAGCGTACTCAATTACACGTTGTATATGTCCCACTATTGGCCATAGGCCTCCTCTCTTAGGCGACAGGGAATGGTCTGTAGTTCTCACAGCCCGTTCCCACTAGTCGTAAGTCGCATAAGACTAAAAGTCGAAAGTCTGATGTCCCTGTTCACACTGCGTCGCGAGTCGTATAGGTCGTAGTTTCGCGCCATTCGGAATAAAACACGAATGGAGTGAGCAAGCAATGTGTAGCGATCTAGGAAGCGGGGCGGGGAGAGAGGTAACAACGCGCTCGAGTCGATTAGATGCACGACTAGTGTGAACAGCAACAAGCAGGCACCTATGCGAGCACGATTCGACGCGACTTTTAGTCTTAAAACGGGCGCTGGCCCGTCGGATGGTTTTTTGAGTCGTATTAGACTAAAAGTCGCGTCTCATCTAATGTGAACAGCTCCATATAAAGTGTATGGTGACCAGAGCATTCGACTTTTAGTCTTATGCGACTTACGACTAGTGGGAACGGGCTGTCACGCTAGGCCAATGCGTATTGGAGACTTCACATTCAACCATAGAACATAATATCTCTTGGGTCGGGGGCCCGTGGCATTATGCCAGCCCTGCCACCCTATTGTTACGCCACTGGCCGCTAGTTAAACAGCGTTGTTTAGTAAAGCGAGTAGGCTGTTGATTGAAAGGCCTTTTAAGGTAGTTGGTTGCCACACATCTAATTAATGCATTAATGGGTAATAAAAAAAGGTTTTTATTTATTGATTGATAAAAAAAATAATGATACAACATAAGGCTGGATACAATCGACAACTATATGAGGTGATTGTGTCTACTCCGAAAATAAACCAAGTTCTACAGGCTTACTTACCCTTTCTAAAGTCGGGATGTGGAACCACCTTTTCCGCTAGGAATCTGTTCTCGTGCCTGTCCTGAATCTTGAGTCGGTGTTCACCAACCACCAGGCGCAGATGCTCCAGTTCTAGCGGTTGCTGAAATTGTCGAAATCTTTGTATACCTTAAATTTGTACACATTAAATTTGAATAGGTAGTCATCCCTACTCATCGGCAAAGAAGACAGAGGGTGTAGGCCGAGAGAAAAAGCCGGTACTCTTTTAAAATAGCAAATCATCAAACAACACTTATTTTAAAACAAATATCGCAAATTAATTAAAATTTGCCTGTCTAGCACTATTCCCAGGCCCTTTTATCAACTAGATAATCGTTAACTTTATAGTAAGCCTTTTTACACAGCTTTTCTTTAATACATTTCTTAAATTTATTAAAAGTCAGAGATAAAGAGACGCACATGCATGTATTGTGTTAGTGTGCCTTTTTAAAATAAATAGGTTATTTCACAATTACTATCAAGTCTCGTGTATTGTATTTTAGAAAGTGGTGTAATATTTTGCCTCTAATGTATCTATATCTTCAATAAATACCTTATCAAAACAATGGGCGGCTGATAACACTAAACGCTCTGCGATTACAGCGCCCCCACAGTGGTGCTCAAACGCCAACTTATTCGGATCCAACATCTGAATCTCCACCTGAAATTAATAAATTAACTCTAAAATTCTTTACTCATAAACATTACTACCTCTTTAATAGCTATTTAATATTTTCTCGCTAATTGAACATTTTTACAAATGACGAGAAATGGCATGTGATTCATGCTACCCTTTTTTTTATATCCGAGGTGGCCCATTCCCCTGCCGTTAAAAATTGCAGGGACTCGACGCACACCAGAATAACTGGTATTCAGAGACTAGGTGAGCAATACCCACTAAAACCACCTCGAGTAGTTTCTACAAAGCCGCGTTACAGAGGCTCCGTGGTCGCTGTCGCATTCTACCTCAACGGCATTTTATACTCAAAAACCTCCGGTTCAATACACACTACATAGGAGGTAAGAGATGGGCATATCTATTTACTCGGTCTTCTACCCCTAGGATTCGTCCTAAACCGCTTCCTCTCTCGTTCTGCTGTCTCCTTCTGTAGCATTACTTGCTTACAGAAGGATACCACTGCATTCCATACCTCGTCACTGCCGACCATTTTTTGGCCAACACAAGGCAAAGCAAGGTTATTACTAATTCATGCCACCCAAGAACGGGGAAAAAGCAAAATAGATATAAATATTGTCCAAGTAACTTTTAAAATTTACTAACATCTATGGACTGAATATTTTGAAAATTAAGAAATCAACAATATTTTATCCAGAGCTTAAAGTATGACTTAAGGTATTGGTGATATCAGTAGACGCATGATAACAAATCGCTGCTACTTTGGCCTTAGTAGATAATTTTTCCGTTCGTGACTTCTCAGAAAGAATACCAAGTTTGTTCTGTACACAACCCTGCTGCGACCAGCGCTTACTTATGGTTCTGAAACCGGGCCCTTAGCAAGAAGAACGAGCTTGCTCTCCTAATTTTCGGGGGGAAGATTCTTCGAAGAATCGACGGCCCTGTTTGCGACAACGGTGTTTGGCTTATTCGCTACAATGAAATACGTGCACCCGTGATTTACAAAGTAGTTTTACAAATTTTAAAAAAAACTAAATAAAAATTTTACAAAGTTCCGTTCCGTTTTGTTCTCGTAATGTAAAAAATAAATTAAAATAAGCCGGTACAAAAAATAGCGGCACATAAAATAGGTCAAGTATTTTCTGGTGAGTAATTATTGATGATAATTGATAACAAATAAGCAAGCCAAAGTAGTGAAAGTTTTAACTTGAAGAATATCCATCGTATCATTGCAACACGGCTGCCATCTGTCAAAAGCTATTTGGCGCGCTTTGTTAATTTTCGCGCGTTTTTTTACGTCAACGCGTAAGGAGGTTACATTGCGTAACTTCTTGACGAATAAAGATGTGTGAACTTTTGCAAAAAAGAAACGAGGAAAAGTAAAGCCTAGTAGACCGGGTTGGGACATCACTGATCAGTTTTATTCATAGACCGTTTCGTTGGGAATGGTACCCCGGACCTACGGGTTGTGTTACGAATTAACATATACTGTAATTTTATGTGGAAGTTATATGTAAATCTATATGTATTTCATTATTAGAAAACACCAGTGTCTTCAGAATGACTTTCAGAACTCAAAGTTTTTTAGACTATAAAAGGTTTTATATCCTGTTTTTGACACCCAAACCCAACTTCTGAGTGTATCTTGGAATAAAAAGTGTGAAAACTACGCAATTAGATAAAGAAATTAATAACGTTTTGTAAAAGTCTGAAAAGTTTTAAAATCCTTCTCAAAATCTACCTTGAAGACTTAACCTATCTTGAATACCAATAAATTGGACATAATAATGAATGTCTAGCCTATGGTATTAATGGATATCAATTCCGTTATTTCATTATAAATTGTCGAAAACAAACCTGCCATGGAAATGCGCCATAGGGGGCTTCGGAGCCCCCCACAATTTTTCCTCTCCTTAGAGTGAAGTCCACAGTTCTGGTACCACACTGCACTTTTTCCCTCACAGGTTTTTGTAAGAAATTCTGGTTAAAATAACTCGTGGAAAAACTATTAAACGCCTTGGTTGGTCGTGTTTTGTTTCGATAATATTCCATGTGGTTAACATGATTTAAAAAAATATTTCCCAGGACTAATTCTGATGATATTGTTAAAAAAAGTAATTTAAACATTTTTATATATTCTCTAACACTTGTGTTTTTAATTGATTATATTTTTTTTCGCTGACACTTTCATTAATTGAATTTGTTTATTATACGAAAATATTGTTCATTTATTTTCCAACACTGGTTTCGCGCCAAAACAATGAAAGCTTAGAGCCACAGATATTTTTTAAAAATATAGATAAAACTAACGTTTTAACAGTTTGAGTGCTAAAAAGGTAATGATTCATCTTACTAAAGTTTATTTTTTAAATTGTAACGCAGGCTGTGCCGATGTACAAGTATGTAGGTCAGGCGACAGATCCGAAGATGCATCTATTGTTCAATTTGTCATGTGGTTTTACTTTCTACTAACTGTTATTATTTTTCATAGGCAAAGGTTTCGTTTCAAATAGTTAAGGACAAATTTTGAAATAGTTCATCAAAATTATTTTATTTTTAATTCCCATCTTTCGTTAAGTTGATATTATCACCTAATATAGTCTAGGGAATTGGTAGAAATTAGCACCTATTATTCCTGTTTTTCAGTATGCAATAAAGTAAGAAATAAAGGAAAGAAAATTTATTAAAAATAAAATAAAATATTTAAGTAAACTTTACTCTCAAATTTAATACCCCATTAGCTAACAATTGATTTAAGTTTATTTTTAATATTTATTTAGGTAGATATATTGTGAAAATATTTAATTCCTAATTGTACCCATTAATTGAGATTAAACAGCCCAGTGTACCAACGGTTAGCATATAAGTAGTTGCTTAAACCTAAATCGATCAAGTATTTCGTGAACACAATTCAAAGTTATAGTATAATATTTAAAATAAATGTTCTAAACAAATATCATGTGCGACCAACCAATGCCAGACGACCTTATCTTAATAGAAATTACATGCATAGATTTTCCCTGTAAATTATGACATATACATGCACAACTGAAATACTTCTTGTTAAGGTGAAGCTGTTCTATTACAGAAAAGTAAGTACTATACTAACCCAGAGCTGTTGCTTACCTCGCTCAACGAATTAGTATCGCAATACAGCGAGGAAATGCTGTCAGCGTTAAAGGTAGACTGCCAGAGGGACCAAACTTTTAAAATTTGTATTATTATTACTAATATAGGTTAAGAATATTGTAAATACTGTATCTTAAATTGTGTAAATAACATTTAAATTATAATACTATGCTGACGCGATGTCAAATAATTAAAACATTAAAAATAAGTTCGTGGCAGGCTCGCATATAGGTAGATTGCGATTGTGAGGGGTGGTCGGGTTTGACGTGCCTGAGGTGATATTTGTAATTACAGTCCACTTAACCCTTTCACAAGCAGCCAGTGGGTCCAACCACCATATCCAAAAACTCTTGTTATATCATTACATAAAATATTTGTAGCGACAAACTACGATTATAAAAATATGGACCTTAACCAGTAATGACAGCTGAAAACCGCTTCAAACCGGTTCAAACCAAATAGCTCCGCCTTAACTAGCGCTCCATTTACACGAAAAATTAACATATTATCTGTAGTGTAACTTTGACCCAATATTAATATGTGCAAAGGCCGATGCGTAGAGGTGTGTTAGGTAATAAAGACAGAATTGACTATTGATCTGTTTTGAACATTTTTCACTTCCTGCTGGTTTAGTGATGACCTTTCTACTTGGTGACATTAGAAAAATTACATATAATATGTTGAGAACACTGTCTTATGTTGCCGCTTCCATGGCTTAGTAATGGCCTGGAAGTCCTGAGTTAAATGTATGTCGGAAAACTTATATCCTAGATTCTTCTTCTTTAGTTGATTATTAATTTAAAGCAGTGTTGTCCTAGTAGCTTCAGCATTCGATCCCCGGCTTTGCACCAATAGATTTTCTGAATGTGCGCATTTAACATTCGCTCCAACGGTTAAGGATTTCATGTACGATGAAATCCTTTTAACATCCCTCAACTGAACTGAACTCGCCACTATTTTTTTTTATTTTTGTCATAATTTGCTATCCGTACCCACGTGGATTTCAGTCGTATGCAATTATATTGCGTCTTGCATCAGGCACTCATACTTATTAGCATTTTTTAATTAGTAAACATATTTCTATGAACTTTTAGATAGTGGTGACAATTGCGTTTTAAAAAAAATCCGTAGGCTGTATTTTGAGAGGAAGTAATTATTTACCGACGTAAAAAACAACCTTATTGAATAATTTGAAAAATAAAACGACTCCTCAGAAGAACAAATTAGAAATTAAATTATTACTATAAAGACTAAAATATATTATTAAAAGGAGTCCCTTCAGGCAAGGTTCCGAAGATACTGGCAGCGTTCCCCCTTTGAATAGCTAGACTAATTCTTTGTCCGAGGTTGCTGCCAGCTCTTCGGTCTCCTGTGATGTTGACTAACCTTTTTGATATTTCCTTAAAAAGCCTTATAGCGCTAGGACCCCACGGACCAAGGGTCTCGACACCGAATTTTTACTTGCATTTTATATTTAACTAGCTGCTTCCGTGGACTTCGTTTCGCCTAATATTTAATATTTAACTAGACTACTTTTTAAATAACTACATAGTAGCGGACCCATGCGACTTCTTCGATACAAAGAGTTCCCTCGTGAGTTGTGTGCTGCGATATTGCGGGCTACTCGATTGTCAGGAAGTTGCATGGATCTGGTTAGCGCTGCGCTTTCTTAAGTTCTCATGTTATTTTTACACGTGTATATCCTTTCTATAACATATATGATTTAAGTTTACTCGTGATTCCATTACGAAACCGAAAGTAATTTCGTTGCATTATAATAAAAATTAAGAGAAAAAGTTCAACTTATGTATCTTACCATTTGTCACATACGGCTGCAAGACTCGGGCATTATCCCAGAAACATCGTTTATAGTTGAGAACATGCCAAAGAGGAATGGAAATAAGCATGTGGGTGTAACACTGAGACATCGCAAAAGAGCAGAAGAGATAAGATTAACGACCAAATTAGAGGACATTATAAAGAAAATAAGGCAATTGAAATGGCTCTGGACCGGGTACATGACGAGAAATAGCAGGATGAAATGGACAAAAATTCTTGCAGAATGGTAACCACGAGTTGGAAAAGAGAAAGACAAAGCAACAAATGAGCAGACGAAATAAAGAGAATAGGAGGCACAACTTGGACAGGAAGAGCTAATATTAGAAAATAATAAAAGCAGCTGGAAGAGCCCTATGTAGGACACGCTTTATTTCAGTTGAATTTTCATTTTATATTAATACTTGCTCCTACAGTGAAGGCAAACACAAGAAATCGACATGAGTTTAACACAGAAGTCTTATCACTTGTGAACAAAATAAACTAAAATAAAATAAAGGTAGGTATGCAATGGCCGTGATACTTTATGTTTTTAGATTAATTTTATTTTCACTCAAAAGTTTTGGAGAAAGTAAGGAGATTGATCCAAGGGATTAGGGAAGTAAGAATTAGCAATGGATAAATTGCATTTATTACGGTACAAGACACAATCGGACTCAAATAAATGTCAGTAGGTCAAAACATATTGTTCGACAATGTGTGGGCGGCATATAATTTGGAGCACGCATTGTGTATTACTAGATGACTGTTCAATCAATATACCGTAAAATAAATTGGCATTATTTTCAAAACAACATCCTAATTTCGATTTTATTTGATATAAAATTTAATTGACAATCGTACATAACCTAAAAATCGTTTAGGCAACAGCTCTCCAGACTTCGCCTCAGATTTCTGTATCTGTCTTCTTCAGTACCACAAAATTGGGAGACGAAATAAGAGCGTTGAAAATTCCACGAAAATTCAATGAAAAGTCGAGACTTAGCTTTAATTTTTTTTTGACGTTCATAAGTGTACATTTTGTTTCCTATATGAATAAATGATTTTTGAATTTGAATAACTTCCGCGCATCAAAACGATTTTGACGTACCGGACCCTGTTCGCGCTAATCCCCCAATTACTCTCCTAACTTTGTTCATTGGTTTTAGCTCCGCATATCTCTTTACGTTACTATAATACCAACGTCGGACAATACTATGGTTTCAAAGTTCTTGAAAAATGTAACATAGGTACATAGAATTTGGAGAGCACAAAATTTTTACACGGACGAGAATAAACTTAGGACTTAGGAGAGAGAATGATCAAGTTTTGTTTCTCTTTCAGAAATCAAAAACTTTCTAAACTAAAACAAAAATATTGTGTTGAATTAATTATAAGTTACTTTACCTTACAAACGGAATTTTAATTATTTTTCATTATGAAAAATTATATCGGCGGGAATAGAATGTTGTTCCGACTTAATTCCCCCCCCTCCGTTTAATAAGCCTTCTAACCCGAAATTCGCTAGGAACCGACATTTTTACAATAATATGAGATAAAACTTATATTCAGGCATTCATAACATTTCAGAACAGAAACAAAAATACTTTGGTAAGCGGCATTTAATTACAAAAAAATCATACAAAAAATATCTCATGTGATGTAAATTACAAATCTCTTGGTAACACAATGGAAAATCTTTCACAGCCTTTAGGCGCTTTACACAAAAATCCAGTACTTTAAGTACATTTTCACATTAGCAGTGGTTCTTATATTTAGCTACGACTTTTACTTGTAACAATGATACTCAGGGCCATTAACTCATGGTCATTTAAGTAATTTGGTAGATTTAAAATTAAAAGGAATTTTTATATCTCAAGTTAACTCTTAATTAAATTGGAATTGCACCGCTACAGATATAGTAAAATTTTGATCTACCTTAGAAAACCAATGTTGTATGATAATAATCACAAAGCTTGCATACATTTCCCTCGGTAAACATACCTTTACCTGGTTGTGAATATGAACTTTTCATTCAACATACCGTTCAAACTTGCGGTTGTATCAAAGTTAAAATATAAGAAATAGACACTATGTATTTAACCTGAATTGGAATTGCATATTTTTGAGGCAATATTTAAGTTATATTAAATATTGTAAGAGAAAACATCTGCAATCTGTGTCAGACAATTGTTGAATGTTCTCAAGCAGCCAAATTCTTTTAGTAATTTGTTTTTTAATGATATATTATTTTTCTTAAATTTTTGAACATACAACTTTTATGGTAATTGTAACATAAAAATGTATTATTTCATTTAGAATAATGATAATAAAGATACACATTTATAATTTGAATCATCTTGAATCTGTAAAATTTCATCTCTGTATTTTTTTCACTTCTATACTACATAAATTGAGTATAATGAAACTGGATTAAAATTCCTATTTTGGCTATGGCTTCCTCCCACCTTCCACATTGTTTCTGAACCTTTTTTATATTGTATTGTAAGGAACACTCAAAAATTTTCTGTAATATCAACACTATTGTCATTGTATGAAATTTTGATTAACATAAAAAATCATAGCTAAATAATATTTTTTCCATTTGGAAAGCACAAAAGTACTAAAACGCCAAAGTCGTTCAAAAATCATAAAAAAAAACACAAGCAATTATTTACAATACTACGATCCGATTTGAAATATTCCATTTAATTTGTCCTTGCGATAGATGGCGCTACAAAAAACTAATCTCTCTAATATTGTGAAGAAATTAGGTTTTTTTTTTATACGATATAATATAATAGTGTGTAGTGTCAAGAAACAAAACCGGTGTAGCGGTTATTTGGACCAATATAATTCGTATTATATGCGTGATTTCATTTCTCTACAAAAAAAATATGTGGCTATATATTTTTAATGAAACTGGGCAAGGGAGCGTTCAAGTAACGAAAGTTACGATGAGGGGCGAGGATTGAATAACGCGTTATTTTTAATATTATTTTCGACTTTCCAGTATTTTACACCACATAATGGTAACTTTTAGGTATAGTCACGAAACGTTTTACTATACTACTCAATAATGTCCGAAAATTGCGTGCCGTAATACTTGAGCGCGGGGAGCGAAACGGGGAGAAGGCTCACCTGATGTTAAGTGATACCGCCGCTCATAAACACTCATATTCCCAGAGGGCTCGCAAGTGCGTTGCCGTATCATGATTATGCAAGTGTTGTCAACATAATAAAAAAGATAATAAGGGCTTCGAGCTCAAATCCCACTTTCGGTCTGCAAAGAATAATAAGAGGCGGCATGGTACAGATTACATAAATTAGGATACATTGATGTACGTGTACGATTGTACCAATACAAGTGAAAACGATACTGGTGGTACAGAATTTTTAAACCTTGCTTATTTATACGAGAGCTATCTAATTCTTTTAGACAACACTAACAAGGTTGTTCTATTGGACCAGCCATGTAAAAGTGTTTTAAGTGTAATGAATTGAATTGTAACTGAATGTTGTAGCGCCATCTACATAAACAAACTTAAGTCAAATCAGATCACTAGACAGGAACATACCATAGACAGAATTATTATTTTTAATTTACTATTATATCTGATTAAGTTATTTAACTACAGTTTAAAATTTTAAACATTATTAATGTAATCCCATTGAATTGGGTTACTATTTTTATTATAATTAACTTTTAAATGTTTTAATAAAAATAATGTATAAACTGTCTATGGTTTGTAATAAGTATTGATATAGAAACCCAAGATGTGAACAGTTGTCATATGTTATGTCAAAAATATTTTAAGGTACCGTGCCCAAATACATGATCTTGGATTTTTATATCACATTGACTATGCTTGAATCGGCAGAGATTCAACAATTTTATCAACGCAATCAAACTGAGTATCTTTTTTAACACTTAAATTCTGTATTGTATCACATAACTCTTCATTTCCACTAAAATCACCTTTATCAGCGCTATAATCATTTTGATCAGCACTAAAATCATTTTGTGTAGCGCTGAAATCACTTTTATCAGCACTAAAATCGTTTGGGGAAGCATTAAATTCACTTTGAGCTGCGGAAAATTCACTTTGTCCTACACTAAAATCACTTCTTCCTTCTTCACTATGTTTAAAATGGAGGTGTTTCTCTAAACTAGACTTTTGGACACACTTGTATGGGCAATGAGGGCATTTGACAGACTTTTGTCTTGGTCTATAGGGTTTACTTTGAACTTTGAAATCAACTTTTTCCCCCTCTTTCTCATTCAAGTGCCTCTGTTTGTGTTTTGTTAGGTTTGTTTTTTGGACACACCTATAACTACACATATCACAACTAAATGGTTTTTGATCGGTGTGTAAGTACATATGTTTGACTAAATTTGGCTTTTGCACCGTTCGGTATTCGCAGAAAGGGCAAGCAAATGGCTTATAGCCGGTATGTGTTCGCTCATGAACAACTAAATTATTCTTTTGTGCACAACGATACTCACAAAACTGACACCGGAACGGTTTTTGCTTCATATGAACAAGGATATGTTTTGCTACATTGTTTTTCTGCCCAGATTTGTAGTCACAAAATGTACACGCATATGGTTTTTCCCCTGAGTGCGTGCGTTCGTGAATTTTCAATATGGCAGGTGATTGACACCGGTAGGCACACTGGGAACAACTGAACTTCCCTAATTTGTCCAATTCTTCGACACTCAAACCATTTTCGCAGTTTTTCGCGTGTTGCTTTAGTATTCTCTTGGAAGGAAACACCTCCTTACATTTAAAACAGCTATACTGCCCCTTGATATTCATTGAGAGGTCATCAATTTTATTATTCACGCTGGAATCATTCTCATTTTTTTCGTAATAAAAAATCTTATTTTCATCCGGTTTAAGATTTTCCTTTGGGTCTTCATGTTTTGACATTTCAAATTTGCCGCCATCTTGTCGCAGTTTTTTGATTTCGTCGTTAAAGGTAGGGTTGTCAAATTGTCTATGGATGACTAAATTTTGAGGGTTGTCCCTGGCCACTTCGTTTACGTAGTTTTGGGTATAGTTTTGTTGGCGCTGATAAATTTCTAAGGAATTTAGAGCTTGTATGGGCAAATGGTTATTGTAAACTGAGAAGATATGGTCTTGATGAATCGTAGGCGATTGCAGTTCCTGCTGTGGTATTTCACCTGAAAGTTAATAAACTCAAATAAGTATTTACTTTACTTACGACTTAAATATTAAAACATAAATTTAACCTCAACTGATGAATATTAAAGCAAACACATGGCTCCTTCATAAAAAAATATATAAGTATTGTTATAGCTCTTTCGTCTCTCGAATAACGAGTACATTAGTTTAAACAGTACAATTAGATGTATAATTTCTTTTTTCTTTTTTGCGACTGAGGCGCAAACTAGCTGCTGTGGACTCTGGCAGAATGACCAGCGCTATGGAACAGTCTGCTCCTCAGCATAATGCTGAGCCAGGGCCAATTACAATCACAGCACACACGCATTACACAATTAAATGATATTTTTAATTCTTTATTATATTTTTTGATTATTGTTATTTTGTGTTTCTGTGTGTGTGTTTTGTTAGTAATACATGTTATGTCTATAAGATGATAAAACCTAAATTGCGTCCTAGTCTGCATAATATTTAAATAAAGAAAATATGGATCTTTTATAACGTTTTATCTTTATGTACTGTACAACCATTGCGATAATTTAGCAAAATCAATTAAGAGGATTAAAATGACAGAGGATGGAATGAAAGCTATGCCAATTAATTAATTACAGATAAGACAATGACCACCATTTTTAATACTGTTTGTATATATATGTATGTTTTGTGCACTTTTCGACCTTTTTATCAATTTCATCATGATATCCTTTAGCCACAAAAGGCAGATAAAGTCGTTTAAATCAGTATCTTAGTATAAATACAAAAAATCATGCAGACATAAATCATTTATTTTTCGAGGTGATTTGCATGTAAAATTCATCGCAACATCTATAAAATTTGATAATGTCAAATTAGAAAGGTCAGCTGACTGGTTTTCTTATAATAAAGTGACTAAAAAAAGATGATTTCGATTCATTTTTAATAACGCTTGGCAGTCACTTCGACCGACCCGATGATACGTACTATTTAAAACCATGTATCCAGTCGTGTTTTAATACGATACCAATATGATTATATAATCTCAATATTTGATGTTATTTACAAAGATTATATTTCTAAAATAAACCTCTAGACTAATCTAAAAAGAAAATCCGTTTAAAACATTAGATTTTTCATAAATTTAAAATCAGAACTTCTATTGATTGAATTACTTGCCTCAATTCACTTAACCACTACAGTTTATTCAAGAAATTTCTTTTGCGTATCGACGACTTTCTGTCATTAATATCGGAGCATGCGCGATACAATTCTAGATTCTCTGCAGTGCTTCGATGTTTTAGGATATCAGTTTGTATTATCGTTAAAAACCCCAACTCAAACCAACATTAATTACGTAATAATGTTTAGTTTCGTTAAAAATTGCTGCGTTAGTTTTTAGGTGTCTTATAACTGAATTGTAAATAAAATATTTACGTTTTTTTTTATGCCCGCGAGTATCTATTATCCCGCGCAAATTAAAGATATGTATATTCAAAGACAATATTAGGCGAAACTGTCAAATGATCCTCGGAATTTGACAATACGTAGAGGTAGGATTGGGCATCATTTGAATGATTTAAGCATTACCAACTATCTCTTCAGTTGTCGAGTCTAATTTTTAGTTTGAAATTATTACCAGTCCTAGATAATGATAGCTTTAAAAATTCAAAAATGTACTTTTACATACAACGCGACTCTACTCATATTTTACAATATTTTAACCTTTTCAATTTTCATAAATATTGATAATAAGCACGTGAAACTATTGATTAACATTTCATCTATTTTAGAATCACATTATTTATTCAAATGCATGCATTAATTACATACATTTAAAATAAATCAGTATTATATAGTTCTCTACCTGGAAATTGTGAATAATCTAAACTTCTCATCAGACCATAGACTTGTTCGAGCCTCCTTGATAATAGAAAAACCGAAATTGAGCAGAAAAACTTTTAAACAAACAACAACAACGCTAAAATCCGAATGCGAGATAGACAAATACATAAAAACCCTAGAAAAGCAACTGTCAAATACAAGTGAATATCTAAACAGTCTGAAAGATGTCCAAAAGTACTACGACGTATTAGAAGAGACAATACTATCTAGCCTCAGAATAAAAGGAAAACACAAAAATAATGAACATAAAATATTTCAAAATACTACATTAGAACTAATAAACAAACGCACGAAACTAACAGCAACACAGAACAAAACCAAAGAAATGAAACAAGAGCTAAAAGAAGTTTACAAAAAGACCAATAAAGCAATTCGAGAAGACTACAACACCCATAGAAGAAAAGTAATTGAGAGAAACCTAACAACCTATAGAAGTACAAAAAGAGCTTATAAAGAATTAAAAACACATAAAAACTGGATACAAAATCTAGCTGTTAACCAGGGCAAAACAAAGACTAGACAAGATTTAATTAAATGTGCCACAGCATTCTATTCAGAACTATATTCAAAGCCAACCGAAGAAAATAATATACATGAAATTATATATGCTCGACAAAGAACAAGAACTGAAATAAATGAAGTGACAGAATCTGAAATTCTAAAACACATAAAGAAATTGAAAAATGACAAGAGCCCAGGATCAGATAACATCAGCAATGAAGCCTTGAAACAAGGAGCATTCCTAATAGCACCATTTTTAAAAAATCTACTTAACATGGTTCTCAAATCAGGAAAAGCTCCACAGCAATGGTGCCAATCTGAAATTATATTAATCTATAAGAAGGGAGATCCTAAGGATATTGGTAATTATAGGCCTATCAGCTTACTGTCCGCCCTATATAAACTATTTTCAGCATTGTTACTAAGTAGAATAACAGAAAAAATAGATCAGAGACAATCAATAGAACAGGCAGGCTTCCGCTCTAGCTTTTCCACAATAGACCACATACATACCATTGAACAACTCCTAGAAAAATTCAAAGAATTTAATCAACCTCTCTATATTGGGTTTGTAGATTACCAAAAAACATTTGACACCATCACCCACAGCTCTATATGGAAAGCTTTACAGGCTTGTGACATAGACACAAGCTACATTAACATAATTAAAGATATTTACTCTAGGAACACAAGCAGAGTAAAACTCGAAAAAACAGGAGAAAATATAAACATCAACAGAGGCGTAAGACAAGGAGATCCACTGTCACCCAAATTGTTTATAGCAGTCTTAGAAACTGTATTCCAAAAATTAGACTGGAGTAAAAAAGGGAATTTGGATTCATGAAAAACATTTGAGTCACTTAAGGTTTGCAGATGACATAGCTGTTTTTGCTAAATCAGCACAGGAACTGTAACAAATGAGCAAAACCTGAACAAGGAAAGCAAAAAAGTAGGGCTGTACATGAACGTTACAAAAACAAAAATAATAACAAATAGCAGTAGGAAGCCAATTCAAATAGACGGAGTCTGCATTGAATATGTTAAGGACTACATTTATCTAGGCAAATTGATATCATTTGAACCAAACAGCAACGACGATGAGGTAGAACGAAGAATCAAAAACTCATGGAAAAGTTTCTGGTCTCATAAAGAAATACTCAAAGGAACCTATAACTTAAAAGTAAAGAGAACAGTAATGGACACATGTATTTTACCTTGTCTAACATATGCAAGCCAAACATGGGTATTCACTAACAAAGTGAGAAACAGATTGCTTACGACACAACATGCTATGGAAAGGAGCATACTGAAAATTAAGAAGATACAAAAGATAAAGAACAAAGACATTCGCCAACAAACTAAATTAACTGATGCTCTTAGGCACGCCTTAAGACTGAAATGGCAATGGGCAGGACATATCTCTCGATACATCGACAAAAGATGGACTGTACAAACTACAAAATGGACTGGTCCACTTGGTAAGAGAAACATAGGTCGACCCAAAAAAAGGTGGGTGGATGACATAGTCAAAGTAGCAGGCGGAAACTGGATTACTACAGCTACAAATAGAATAAAATGGAAAAAAATGGAGGAGGCTTTTACCCAGATGGGATCCAAACTTTGAATATACTAATGTTACACATACTAACATAGACTAAGATTATTACATATTACTAACATATAAAATATTCTTACTTCTTTTTTGTACCTTAATGAGTTTGGAATAAATAAAGCTATAATAATAAATATAGTTCTCTATAATAATAATAATTGTGTTTAGATGAAATATTATTCTTTTAGATTTTGAACTGAAACATGTGATCAGCAATTAAAACGGTAATTGAAACTATTTTTCAACAGCAACAATATATTATATTAGACTGAAAAGAACTTCTTACTTTACATTTTATTAAAAGATGGTATAAAGCCTGCACGGCATACCATAGCCGGGTAGCCAGCACCCATCACTAACCAAAAAAGGCACTTATGTCCAAAAAATTCAATACATTTGTGTTGCTGTCATGTTAATTATATTGATGGTAACAGTATTGTGTAATGGATTGATTTAAACAATACCTCCAAGCACTTTATAGACTATTGTTGACTTGTGAATGGCTCCCAGTTTTTGAAGAATGATGTCTATATATTTAATTAAAATAAAGATATAATGTTTAAATTTGTGTATTAAATTTATATTATTTATTTTTATTTGTGTGTTAAATATACAATTTTTTTTATAAAATTTATTTTAATGCAAATAAGTTTTGCCCTAAAAAATTCTGAACTGATCAAGATTAGACATTTTATAAATTAATTAAATTTTCAATGTACAAAAGACAGACTCCATAAAAATCTACAAAAAAATTTAACTTACCATTGACTGTGTTAGCTAGCCCTTGACTCATATTATCATAAAATCCTAAATCTTCCTCCTGTTCTGGCTTTATATAAAAAGGAATTGGCAAATCATTTTGTTCAACCCTGTGCTCTATACCATTCCCTATTCTTTGATCCAAACGTTGGCCCAACTCCATCCTTTGTGCCAATATTTGATCAATTTTCTGGTTCATTGAATAATCAAATCGGTCTAAATGTTGTTTCAGCAGATGACTATCATATAATGGTGACCGTCTTTCCTCTTGGCTATTAGCAAGGTCATTGTCTATTCTGTTCATCATATCTATGTTTGGGTTCTGCATATCCATTCTTTGAGTATCAATATGTAAATTTGCTTGCATTTCAATATCATTCCTAACTAAATCCATATTTCTATTCAAGTTTTGTACCAACTCAAGATTTCTATTCAAATTTTGTGCCAAATCATTTCTATTTATTTGGACTAAGTCATTTCGTGCTAACTCCAAACTTCGGTTTTGTGCTAAATCAGCTCTTAACTCCAAATTCCTATTTATATTTTGAGCTAAATCATTTCTTGCCATCTCTAGGTTTCTATTTAAGTTTTGATTTAATAAATCATCGTGTCTTATTTCATTCATAAGCTCCAAATCACTTTTTTGTAAATGTGCAGGTATCTCATTGAAATTTAGTGTGCGTGAGAGGTGATTGGTTTTCAACATAAGTGTGGACATTTGTCGTGGAGACAGTGGCAATTGAAAATTATGCATTAAATTTGGATTTAAGGAAGACTGCATAGCCAACTGTATTTGTTCCATAGTTACATTATATTGGTAATCCATACTCTCAATTTGATGGGATTTTTGAAGCTGTAATCACAAAATAAAGCTTAGTCAAAGAACGAAAGCCATTTTTTTTTACATGGATATGACTTGGTATTAGGAAAATATTTATCAAAATCGTAAATAAATCTTTCGGTTTAACTTAAAACATGTAAAATCATTTAAATTTTAAAGGCATATTTAATGTATATTTAAAATTGTTATAGCAACAAGATAAAATATAGGAAAGTTTGCAAAAATTTAAGATTAATTTGCCTCGATACAGCTGTTCCAGATATCAGAATTTGTTATCATAAAGATAAGAATGACTACAGTAGTATTTTGTTGCCATGGAAACAAAATCTTATTTCCTAAGGTAAATAAACTTAAAAGTAACTCACGTTTTCCATGTAGGTTTTATAGTTTTCTTCATCTAATAAAACACGATCCTCGGTTTTCACAAAATCCATTGTGAGAGCAAATTTGAAGAGAAAGAGTTAAATCATAACGAACCAAGTATAACCTCTGTTAATTCTAAAAGGGTTTAACATTTGTTGCACCTTATACTAAATAGAAAAAACTAAATATAAATTTAAGTCTACATTACATGATTCATGCGTAAAGGTCAAGATTAAAAAACCGATTAAAACTTAAAACAAAAAGACATGATTTTTATTTCAATGACGTTATTTTTAACAGAAAGAAAGGAAACTATTCCAAAGGCAATAGAGTAACGTCAACGAACATCTGTCGCGGTCGGAGGCTTGAGTGTTGCCCGTTTTAAAATTATATAAATGTGCTCCCAAAAATATTATTATTTTGATATCATATTTTAATTTTTTTAATTATTTACGAAAAGTTACTCACAAGACATACAATGTATATTATTAAAATTATTACGACATAATTACTACTGGCAATTAAATGTTTGACCTTAAATCGACTTTGAAATATTAAAAAAAAAATTGAGAAATTGACCTTCAAAATTAATGCAGTATGCACTATGCACTGTTGTCCGTTAGCGGTTAGCCATTCACAGTTACCCACATTTCCTTAATATTTTCCCTTATTTGAATTAAAATATTAATTTGTTGTTAAGATTAACTTTGTAGCTTTATATTAATCTGAAAAAAATCTTAGAATAGAGTAAAATAAAATCATTCAAGTAAGTCACCGTGACCACGCACGCTGTAAAGCACGCGAAACGTCGGATAAATTTAAAATTATGTTAAATAGTACAACTATTTATATAATTATAATAATACATAACTTCAATCCGGTCAAAATAGTGTTTTATTAAATAAAATCATTCTCTTGGATTCTTTGTCTTTATTGGATTGGATTGTTTTAATCTGTACTAATGATGATAAATTCAAACATTATCTTAATCATTTGCCTTTCCCATTAGGGATAAATTAATATCATCATCAGAGGAATTGTAACAGCCACTGTGTTTGTATTGCAGCTTAAATAGGTATTTATTCATTATACAGTATACATGACGTTTTAGTATTACGTCAAAGTCAAAATCTTTACGGAATTTCAAAAACAAAAATTCTATTTCATGGTTATTTTGTTGGCACCTCGAATTTTGCCTCTAATTTGAATTTTGAAACTTGTTTATTTATTACAGCCTAAAAGTAGAAAGAACCCTGTGAAATCGTCTCAAACTGTGAGGTTTGTAATTTGTACCTAGATTTAATCGTCAAGATTCTATAGGTCTATTTTAGTATCGTTCCTTATTTAATTTTTTTGTGAAATTATTTTTTTTAGGAACCTAAAAATATCTAGAATGTCGAAATCTGCGCTAGTGATTATCGCCCAAGGGTCTGAAGAAATGGAAACAGTGATAACAGTGGATATGCTGCGAAGAGCCGGCGTAAGTATTCATCAAATTTAATGAGCATCTTGATTTAGATACATTTTAAGATATATACAATCTTTACAGATAAAAATATATTTGGTTTCGTAAATTATATTACATATAAGCAATAAAATTTCTAAAAAATCTGACATTTGTTTCAGGTATCAGTGACAATGGCTGGCTTGGATGGAAATTCACCAGTACTTTGCTCCAGACAAGTCACTTTGGTGCCTGATAAATCACTTGCTGATGCATTAGCTGAGAAACCACAGTATGATGCGGTAATATAGTTTACATGCACTGAAGAAAAGTAATCATTTAAATTAGAGACACATGTTCTGTATGTATATTCTGTATCTCTACAAAAAAATTAATTCAGGCAAGTAGGACTTCCAATATTAAATAACAATATGGAGCTTAATTTTATTTTTTACATTATAGTTATGGGGATGTGTACCCATAATTGAATGCTTTACAATTTTAGGTTATTCTGCCAGGGGGTCTAGAAGGATCGGATCGGCTATCAAAATCTGATGTTGTGGGCACTTTACTGAAGGAGCATGAAGGATCAGGAAAAATTATTGCTGCTATCTGCGCAGGTATATGATTCAACCATTTGAGAAGAGCAAAAGATATTCAATTGATATTCAAACATAAACTAAAATTGTTTGCACTATCATGTCATTGAATATTCTAGAAATATAGGTAAATTTGTTTTGTAAAGTCTGTAGTCAACTGATACTATAACATATATTAAGCTTAGGTGCCTGTACTGAATTTTGTATCTATATTTAACTTAATTGCATATTTTTATATTATTTGACTGTAAATTATCTGCTTACAATAATAAAAAAAAATTTATTCTCATATTTATCATTTTATTTGTAAGAATTAATAAATCTGTTTTCATATTTTCCAGCTCCAACAGCATTTGTAGCTCATGGTGTTGGTAAAGGGAAGAAAATCACATCTTACCCGACTACAAAGGACAAAATCACTTCAGATTATACATACATTGAGGGTGAAAGAGTTGTTATTGATGGGAACTTTGTTACTAGCCGGGTAAAGTATATTTTCATGACATTTATTTAACCCCCATATACCCAAGAGGTTTATTTCTGCATTAGACCTTTTTTAAGACAAGTACTGATAAAATTTCTGTCCTTACCATCCCAAAACTTTTTGGTGGAAATTAAGCCTATGGTTCTATAACCATAGGTAATATGAACACCTAAGACATTCAAATTAATATATAAAATCTAACATGCTATGCTTAGGTTAACATTATGTCATTAGTGCTAATGTTTGCAAGCTTAGTCACATACCAGGTCTTGACTATTTTTACTTTTTTAACAGATTTTATGTATCAAAATAAAAGTAATAGTAGTCTGTGGCAAAATACAAATTGTAATATTTAAACAACTTCTATCAGTCTAATTAGTCTGTTGATAACTAAAAGTCAATTTAATCTGACACATTGGGAGTTGCAGCTGTCCTCTTTTAAATTTTCAGGGTCCCGGCACGGCCTATTGGTTTGGACTGTCTCTGATAGAGTTATTGACTGACAAAGAAAAAGCCGCGCAAGTAGAGAAAGGAATGATTATCACTGGATATTGATTGAGATGTTAAGAAAAAATGTTTAGTCACCAAATAAAATGTGGATATCAAATTGTCATTTAATTTCCCCTTGCACTAATTACAAGTGTACATTGAGAAGCCATATTTGATATTTAAATAATTCTTTCAATACTTGGTAGTAATTTAAAAGATTGTTACACCAATAGACAGACAGTTTTATTATTTTCTATTAACCCAAAACAATTACTGCTTATATATTTATTTTGTGTCATCTATGAACCCCGAATATATTTGTTGCTGTGTACACTTTTAAGCCAAGGATACAGCCAACATTAGAAGCAAAAATAAATGAAATACGTTCATGTACTACGTAACGCAACTTTTGGAGATTTTAGTGCACACCCCCCTCATTAACGCGTCGTAACGTTTTTTAAAACGGTATGTGGCTATTTGTCCCTAAGTCACAATTATGTGGCGTAAAGTACCTTTGATATTGTTTTAAGTCGCCTCTGTAGCGACAGAAGAGAAATCGTAACGTTTTGCGCTCCGTTATGTAGTTGAATGGTACTACCCTGGTAGAAATACATCCTAGCAGTAGAAACTGCTTTCCAATACGTAGCCACTGAGGACTTCTAAATGTACAAGTATGTTTAAATATTAATCTATACAACCATGATCATTGAGATGCTTTAATAACTTATTGTAGTAAACAATCTAATGTCAGACTATGGTGATTTAATTATATAAATAAAACTTCATATTTATTAATATTATATTTAAAAAAGATTACAAAAATAAGCGTACACAAGATAAATGCATGACTTAAAAGAAAATAGTATCTAATACTAGAACATATATATAACATAGATTTTTAAAGCAAGTTATGACAAAAGAATCGCTTTGGTTCTGGCGTAAACGTAAAATTTTTAAATATTTTTATCCCAATATCGATTAATTGAGTGAATATATTAATGTCTTATGTCTTACCCACAAATTAATGGCTGGTACGCAACTTGGCAGAATTGGGGAGGGAAGTTGTATGTTTAGCAAAAGGCCAACGATTTGCACATCTAACGACTCTTGCGTCACATATCAAATGCTTTCGAGTCGATGTAGATAAGGATTTATCCATAAACGTTATATTTTAAAATGGCTCTTAAAATAAAATGCGGGGTCGTCGACGGTCTACGAAAGGATACTTGGTATAGCTAAGTTTCGTTATGAGTATTGTTCCCGGTGCATGAGTAAGCAAGAGCCGTGTGTGGTCTTTTACCCAGTCCACAAATCCAATCTGGCCAATTTACGTGCCAAATAAAATTCGTGGGTTGAAAAGTAAATGTTCTGTATTTAAAAAAATCCTCCCTTAATCCACGTTAATTTTAAAAATCAGAGTACAGATTAAGTTATTTACATTATTTGTCATGATAAAATTAGAACATTTTCAGTAATTAAAATAATAATACACGAGTTTTAATAAAAATAAACAGCAAACTTCCCTTTTATTTCATATACAACATAAGTGTATTACATAAATATATTATGTGAGGCGATTTCAATTTTCATTCGTGTTTAAAATGTATACTTGACTAAACGTGACATTAAATTTAAAAATAAACCTAAAAAATATCGATAGTCAAGCGTAAACAATAATCTCAATGGTGTTAAAGAATAATTTCAATTAATATGCCGTAGTACGCAATTATACCTCGTAAAAATTGGCGGTTAGGTTTTGGCGTAGAACACGTCTTTTCTATAAGAAAATATTGTGCAAATGTTTTTGTTGCTATGTTCATAGTATTATGAATAAAGGTTCATGTCTAAGAATACAAAGTGTAGGACTGCTTGTGGCCTGCCACTTACGAAATATATAACTATTATGATAATAATTGAGATCTTCAATAGAGACTACATAATGCAACGCAATATGACATTTGTATGAAAACAATTGTTACCAATTGTATATTTATAGAAACAAGAAAGTTTATTTTAAATATGGAGGTTTTTTTTAATATTTGTAACTTGTAATTTTGAATAAGTACCTCTTTAATAGGCCTAATTGAAATAAATGATTTGACTTGACTTATAGGATTCATCCGTATAGTATCTGCTAAGGGTGCTTTAAGAATATTATTAAAAGTTTAGCTTAAGACGTAATGGTAGGGGAGCCCACGATGCTAAATGGGGATTTACTCGAGCGTCGTAGAGACCTATTGGGATACAAAGCTTAGATAAAAAGAAGAAAAAAATGTTATATGATAAATTCCTTTTCATCGGTGGGGGAAGCGGCTATAGATAGTTAAATATGTAAAAAAAAACTGTTGCATGGACATCCTCGAGCGCGTCAGATATTGATAGCATCTATGCCCTACGTATTTTTAATAATGTACGTATGTTAATCTGATCGTTTGCATGATGCGGGTGGTTGTATTTAAGGGTTGAAAATTAAAAAAAAAAAATTTATCGAGCGCGTCAGATTTTCTAAGGGAGTGTTAAGTGCACCAAAAAAAATCTCTCATTCACTAATCTGACGATTTCGATGGGACGCAAACCCACAGCCATTTTCTTAATTTGCAAAAAAAATCGCAATTTTGAAATACTCAAGCGCGTCAGATTAAGATATATGTGGTTCATCTTTATGTTCTAAACGTACTGTCTCATAATCTGACGATTATCTAGAGGGATTCGCCTGATCTGACAAAAAAAAATAGAAAAACGGTTCACCTAAAGGGCCATCCCTGCAACTTCCCGCTAATTCCATTCCTGGGCGCTTAAAATTGATATTTTGAGCTCGCTGAGTTCAAAGAAATAACATTTCTATGCATTTGAGCTCTCCCAGCTCGAAAGTCTGATAGAAGTTTCATAGAACACTATTTTTGGAATTTTCAAACCGCAATAACTTTTGAATGGATCAAGCAATTTTCACGCGGTTGGCGGCATTCGACGCAGTTTTATCATTCTCATAAGTAATTTTGCAATTTTAATTGATCGAACCACAAATTTCGGAGTAATCCCGAAAAAACACTTTTCGGGTTTCTTTCATGTACGATATCTCTCGAACGAATCAACCGCTTTTGACCAGCTTGGTGGCGATCGACGTGGTTTTCAAGCTCAAAGGCGGATTAGTTTTTGAAGTTGATCGATAAAGAAACCACTTAAAAAAAAATATTTCTTATTTTTTTAAGATTTTTCAAAATTTCTCAAAATCTATCGGTCCGAATCAGTTCAAATTCACAGGAAATGTAATTTTGAGGGAAATATTTTGAACGCCGTTTAGTAGATTCCGATCGGTTTAAGGAAATGTAGGCATCACGCAGCTGCACGCATTTAACTTTATCGACGAATTTTTGTTATTTCGGCTTGCGGAAATCGTCAGATTATATATTTTTCATTATTCTGGAATTATTTCCTTCAAAATAAAAGAAAAATTAGCTACGCTCGAGAATGTCGAGATGACGTTTTTTTTACAACTTTGTTGCCCTCCCCTTTTTTCCGTCACTCTCAAATTGTCAGATTAGTGGAATATACACTTTTTAGGATGTAATTAACTCACCCTACCTTAATCTGACGCGCTCGGGAATTTCTGATGGTCAATTTTTTTTTACTAATCTGATCCTGTCTCCTTCACGCGCGGCCTTATATATGGGCCTCATATTTTGTGGAGGTACTTAACCGGGTACAAGGTATCCCCCTATATAGTAATCTGCCGCGCTTTAGTAAATCCCGAAATCCCCTCTTGGGCTCCCCTACCATAATAATTGAATTGCTTAGCTATTAGCAAACGGCACGTAAGTTTAAGCCACCGTTTTTAGTTCCAAATACTCTATTGACTATTCCATCAACAATTTAAATATAAGTTATTCCTGCTGACGTTTTGGCAATGTGATTGGTAGATTTTAGAGATTCCAGCATATTTTGGTAAATAAATAATTCTAAATTAATTTTATATTACCCATGTCTGTAGGACAGGTTGCCTTTAAAAATTATTCCAACATTCACACCTAATTATGTGTGCATAGAAGTGTTAATAACTAAATAAATATATTTTTTGACAATTGCAAATTATTATAAAACGTGGAGTATCAAACGGTACTTGTTCCCATTACGATATTTTAACCATATAACAATGGTAACCATGGTAACAATCTCTAGTCCGAGTTTTATAATAAGGCCGCAGATATTGGTTTTGGTACATTCAGTGAGGTCTAGTTCAAACTTATTTTAATTGTCCTAAAAGCTAATGAGCTTATTATAATTTCGCTTCTATATAATAAATATATACCATACATTACTACTACAATATAAACTTAGTGAGTGATATTCCAGAACAGGATTTTTGTTAATTTTACCAGTTATCCAAAAAGTCGAAACCTGTCTTTGGCACTGTAGAGTCTGTGAGTGTTTCAGTCGAATGGAAGTCCGTGTTTGACGATGCCTGGCTTGACAGAAGACCGCGGTTTTCTTCTGAGAGATCTGAAAATGTAATATAGGTGAAATACCTTTAAGAATAAATATGTGAGGAACTTTTTTTAGTATAGTAGTTTTATTCTAGGAGTACATTGTCTTCACATATAATTATTTAACTAATGTATACAAAATATTGTTTAAGGGCCTCATAGTCTAGCGGTCTTATTAAGTGGCAGCTAGGTGAGGGGTACCGGGTTCGATTCCCGGTTCGAGGGCAAGTTTTAATTTAATTTAAAATTTGTTCTCGGCCTTTGGGAGTGTTGTGCGGTACCGGACGAGTGCCTAAACCGTACATGGAGGACATGGTCGAATTTCTAAGGCAAAAAAGCACGAATTATAAAAATCTTTTGACGCTGGCTACCGTGCCAGAGCAATAAAAAAAAATAAAAAAAATATTGTAAACCTATTTAAGAGTAAGTGTGTTCTTGACCATTCTTCTCGACACGAAACCTTTTGGAAGGGGCAACTAGAAACATCTTTATATTTTATTTGACGTACAATAGAGCCATTTTAAGTGGTCTAATTGAAATAAATGACTTGACTTGATACTCTTAAAATAATACGAAATGAGACCGGGCTTCTAAAAATGTATTAAATTGGACCAAAAATATTGTTTGCCTTCTTAGTAAATGGATTCAAACATATTAGCGTTAATTAATTATTTTAAATTTGCGTGATTTATAATTTCCTTGTCTAATTAGTTAGTATGTGTCCTGTGGCTGACACAGGCCGCTTTTGGGTCTAAGGCAGGTTTCCTTATGAGGTTTTATTTTACCGTTTGAGCGAATGTTAAATGCGCACATAGAAAGAAAGCCCATCGGTGCACAACCGGGGATCGAAACTACGACTTCATGATAGTCGCACGCTGAAGCCACTAGGCCAGTGTTGGCCCTGCTAAAGTATGAAAAATACAAAGTATACCTTTTTATTTAAAGTAATTTTTGAAATTATACTTCTTTAGGCGCGTTATGAAAAATTTATGAGACTGAAATTTTACGACGCGCGCGCACCGTGACACAAAATTAACAGGATGAAGTTGCCCACGGAAGATGCTACATGCATTGGACATAATTTAAAAACAACATTCGAATAATAATAGAATTTATGTTACACTTAATGTAAGAGAATAATAATAAATATTTATTTATTTAATTTTTCAAATGTAAACCGAACTTTATTGACTATAATGACTCCCTTTCCAGTCTTTGATTATTTAATTGTAATTAATTATTTGCATGCAATCAAAAACTATTTTTAATAATACCAAAGAAGTATAACTTCATACGCGCGTACATAAGTATTTTTTATATAGATAACTAAATTTTTGAACAATGCTGCGTAATAGCGGAACGTAGCGAACATAGAATTGAATATATCATGTTAGGTATTACACCTATGTTTATTCAAATGAAGTCATTACGATCACCTTATCTAACGAACAACAATGGTTTGAACAATGCATAACTGACTCACGCTTAGAATAATAATGGTGCTAAGATAATTGAATATGTGGTCTCTTAGTAATAGAATTACTTTATGCAGTTTTTAAGATAAATTTTGGTATAAATACTTATTATTTTTGCACGATATTCTTAATGAGACAAGATACTCATATTTGTTCCATGTGCTTCATACGAACACGAATTACCTGAACAATTCGCCTATGTTTCGGTTTTTTTGAAGTGAAAACTTCTTTAGCGGCGTTGTACACTTTTTGTGGAATGGGTAAAAGATGTTAAACTCGCGTCAGGACACGTGACCTGATCGAAAATTCGTAAGACGGCTGGAAAGTGGACAGCTGGCGCGGCGTATTTAATGTAATATAAATTGTAATGTTTGTGTACGATAGCGCAATAAATAAATATTGTATTCTACCACATAAATGATAGTACTTTTATACTGATAGTTAAAGCAATTCGTACAAAATTATTCCCTAACCATTCCAAAATATCAAAAATGCACAACGTTAATATTCAAGTTTTCACTTCTGCCGACACTACTGGAGTGCAACCCGTCGTTTTTTTTATGTAACTATGACACTAATTATGAGGATGTTGATATTTTCTACCTCACCTAAGAGGATGTGAGGAAGTATTTGATTAGCAGTTTTTTCTTTAAAAATTAAGTATTAATTGTCGTTTGTTTAATGTTAAATTTCAGTTTTCTTTCTGTCCATTAATGTGTTTATTTATATTTTCTGTTTCATATATATTGCTTATCTATGTATCTGTTTTGGCTTTGTAAATTGTCTGAGTGTTTTGTTTTATAATATGTGTGTTAGCTGTAACATTACTAATAAATGAATAAATAAGACTGCTATCCTTTCTACAAATTGGTACTAAAATTCGTCGAGCGGTCTTAAAACCATAACGTGTAGTGTATATATGGGCTATTCTCTACTAAGTGGAAAATCGTTGTCCTAAGCAAATTTTATATAATAATTTTAAATATTTCTTCGTTTTTTGTATGAATAATGACATATAATTGTGTATTCTTGACACGCCACAGTTTATTTAGTAATTTAATAACGTAATATCTGATTAAATCAACCTCGAACCCCCCAAAATACAGTCCCCTGGTATGTCCCATTTCCCAAATTACAAGTCTTGAACCAATTTTTATCTTTTGAGCCGTTGATATTTGAATAAAAAATATTGAAATACCTTAAATAAAACAGTAAGCATCTATATAAATCACAATTATATATTTACTATAAAAATTTGATTAAAAAATCAATACGTGAATGCTATCCTCAAAATTTTTGAACAGTCCCCTGATAACATTTCAAAACCGCACTTAAGTCAAATCTTGTATTGGTGCTATACGTTAACCTAGTGAAACGGAACGCAATCAGTGCGAAGTTCTTTGGGGTGTATAGATCATCGAGAAGTCGCCATTTTTTTAGTATCACCACTAAGTCTTTCAGTGAACAACGAGTCTCGGCCGTTACAAAAAACAGTCCACTGGTAAGCCATTTTTTACTATTTTAAGAGTTTTAATTACAAATATTTGTTTACATATAATTGATTATAAAGTATGTAGCCACGTTTTATTTCGTGAATGTGATAAGTGTAAAAAAACAAGTTTTATTAAACTAACAGGTAAAAATGACAGTACCCTGGCCGACAGTCCCCTGTCAATTCATAGCACAGAGGACTGTTTTATAACGCAGGGGACTGTTTTCTGTGGGTTTTCTCAAGTCTGAGATGCCAGTTTGCGCATCTATGATCAAAATCATTAACAATTTTATTGTCTCTTCATTAGGAAGTACCTCAATATGCCACCCAAAAAGAAACCAGCCAAAAAACGAGAAGAAATAATAGAACAAAAACGTATAGCAGAACGTTTGATGAGAACACTTAAATGGGAACATTTAAAACCTATTTTCAAAACTTTACCCACGCATGTTACTGGCATTTATTTTGTGCGCGACGGACCAGTAACACAATATCGAAACAAAGCGACGTTTTATATTTTAGCTTCAAAACTTCATGTAGAGGTCCAAAATATGAAGACGTTTTCCTGGTACTTTAGAGAGAGTGGCCGTGGAAAGAGGACCGCAGATGGTCTTGGCACTACATGCAAAAGAACTGCAGATGGCATTGTTGCTATAATTGTTAGTTTGGATTCATTTATAGATGCTGTACAAAAACTATGTCCTGCTATTACAATCTTTGCAATTGACGATGCTGCAATTAAATATATGACTAACGATATTCAGAATGATGCCAAGTACCTGAAGGTTTCAATGGCACTCTTAAAATACATCAGAATAAGGGTAAAATATCAAGATGTCCGTTGGGACTACTACAAAGCACTGAAAAACTTATAGTGACAAATTTAAGCTGCTGTGAAGAAGAATGCCAACATTTTAACCTAGGGGTTATCAACTACTAAACGGCAAAACTACGCTCCGAGGACGTCTACACAGACTCCGAAGACGAAACCAGGCCAGCCGATTTCTCCGCTGATAATAACATTATTCCAGAAACCGAAATTTCACGACCGTGTGACAATTTTATTACTAATTTTGACAATACTTAAGGGCCTAGTACAAGCATCCATCAGCAGTACAAAAATGGTGATAACGTTTTAGTTAGGTGTTATTTCAGAAACACTGAATATCGTTATGCTGTTATTAATAAAGTAGACGATGAGGATGGCGAACTAACAGTATCTTTTATGAAAATTTGTGATGATAAAGGCCACAACTTCAGAATGGATGAAGTTGATATTTCTGGTGTCTGTTTTGACCAAATACTGCAGAAATTACCACAACCAGATCTTACTCTAAAAGGGAGAAGATTATTTTCCAATATTCGTTTCGGTTTTTGAGAAATTATAATTTTTAAGATAGTTTCCTAAAATGCCATGTTAAGACTAATTTTATATAAGACATTGTGAAGTTTATGGCAATTACTTTAATGGTACAATTGTTTTAAATACTAATATTGTTATATTAAGTTAGCATATGTAAGAACTACGCATTAAAATGGATTACTTTCATACTAAAATTCGTGTTTTTATTCATAAAAACAATCCCTTGTGCGTTACGACAGTCCCCTGTCTCGTTTTTGGAAAAAACGTTGATAACTCAAAAACCAGGACGAAAATCAGTGGGCCTTTCTAAGAGATATATTTATTTTAATATTGTCTTTAATTTTATTAACAAACATTCTCAACATCTAACAAAATTTTCTTAGGACAGTCTTGTATGGACGAGTTTCCAAATAGCAGAGAAACACCCATATATATATATATAACATTTAGTATATTTCAGCAAAATAATTTCAATATTTTCTAACCAATAGTTCAAATCCATACTCACCGCCATTAGACTTAGCAATACTGCCTCTATAATTGTCTTGACTCTTATAATTCCGAAAATCTACAATCTGCGTTTGATTATTTTCAACCAAGCACTCCTTCTCTTCATCTTTCCCTTTGAAATTTCCAATAAATTTCGTAATAAAGCTGGTAGGAGATACGATCTCCCTATTCGAGTCTTTATATCTAAAAATCACAAATATTTTTGTTTATTTCGTTGGAACTATAAAAATATCAGTAAAATTAATTTATTGATTTCACCCTTACCTCGATACTTCATGATTCTTTAACGCGTTCTTTAATTCATTTACCACTTTGGAATGCGATATTACCAATTCCGACATAACAGGTGGTGAAGGGGGCTCTTCCTTCGATTTTCGACTCTCTATACAGAGATTTAGCTGACTCTTCGTCTGGTAAAGAAATGGTGCCGAGTATTCGTCCCTGTAGGACCCGTTTTCATCTTGTACCACTTTCTGTGCGTGATCGCGGCCGAAGAAAGACATAAGGTCATCCTTATGAACTGGTGGATCATTTATATCGAAATCTAAACTGTCTAATAGAGCGTACTTGAGTGCTATATCCGGTTTTATAATCGACTCGTTGATTATTTCCGACTGAAATTGTAATGTATACATAATCACGCATTAAAAATAGCAAAGCCTTTGTACATTATATTATATAGAGCTAGATGAGATCATTATTACTATAGTACAAAATTTCTTTTTATATTTATCCAATTATTCACCATATACTTCCGACCCTACAACTGCGAAACTCATGATAATAAGTTCTGTCATCAATGCCAGGGCTATTAAAATTCTATAAGAGCCAGTTACTAAGTGTATATGTCGCATCCAACTAGCTTAATTAGCCGTCTAACTAGCGGCCTGAAAGTTGTTCAGCCAGTTGATCAAACAGCTAGGCAAATAATTTGCCTAGCTCGTGTCTTTACTTCACTAGACTGTTGACTGTTCATTTAAATGTAATTCAACTTTCTGCCACTCTCGAACTCGTAACGAAACTCTTCAAACTGTCAATATGGCGTCGGCAAACCACTACTTTGGTGTTTTCCAAAATTTCATAAAAAACAACAAGTACAATGGAAGAGTGTAGTGACAATAATAATGTGAATTTGACTTAAGCAATTTAATTTTAAAATAAATATTTTTTATGCCTTATGTTTATCTTTTTAATTTCTGCCAAATAATGACTCTATCGTACGAATGGCCTATGATTAGCCAGCCAGTTTATCAAATGTTGTAACAAACGCTACGGCTGAATATCTTTCAGGCTAGGCTGTTAATTGAACGGCTAATTAAGCTAGTTGGCTGCGACATATACATTATACACTCAGTTACTTTCTGTGTCTGTGATACTTTTGCTTAATGTAAGTAATTAGCATTCTATCTGCTTTTCAATGGAAATAATTACATTATAAGTAATTCTATGTCTTACATACAAAGTGTCATTGAATAAACCAATAGGTGACAACTTAAGAATAAGCTCTACTGTGAACTATGAGTGTGACCAACTCTCAGGAACCAACACAATAATACCGACAGAAAACATACCGTAAAGTTTGAAAAAAGTCATTGTAGTCAGTTTTGAGTATTTTTTTTTGTTTGAGTTTGTAAAAAGACTCTATTAGAAGAATGTGCACAGAGTATACTATGTTAATAATGACTTAACATTTCAGGTAATTCTTCTGTCCATTTCAATCACATCTTTTATTTTTTAAGATTACAGAAGATACAACAAATAAAATATATTATTTATAAACATTTAAGTATATTAGAATAATTTACAACATAATGCCATATTTCCTGTAGTGAAACCAAACATCCTTCCTTTAATTTAAACTTATATTTTGATAGCACTATTATTAAGGCCCAACAGAAATAACACAACTAAACAAGAGCTTTTAACTTAACTTATATTTTGCAACATGCAATCAATTAGTAATTGCTTAACAGGAAATGTTTGTACATGTAAGAATAATTATTTAATTGCTTTTGAATAATAAGTAGATGTTTTCATTAATGATGAATTAATAGGTTTATCTAATACACAGTTTAAAAAAACACAGTAATATTTTAACAATAAAATTACAATTTAAAAAGTCAAACTATAAATAAAAATAAGAGAATATAATAATAAGGATAGAATAAGCTTATAAAGAAAAATTTGCAAAGAGATTACCATATTTTGGTGAAAATGATATCAAATATAATAAATTCTGTTCTATATGAAATATGTTGCAATTTTTTTTTAATACAATTTCCGTATGAGAAACTAAACGCTTAAACTCGCTATATAATATTTTTTTATTAATCAATATATTTAACATACATATTTTAATTAATATGTAGGAAGTTTATTCATATTTTAGACCAATTTTTTTAGTTGTATTTTTTTTTATTAAATAAATCCTAAATATTAAGCGATACCTAAAAATCTAATAATAAAAGCGATAGTATTTTAAAACCAGAACGATAAAAAATAATCTGTTCATACCTTTTCTTTTTCCGAAAGCGTATTCCAAATATGCTCAAAGGTATTCCGTGTTTCTACAATATCTTCATGAATTTTAGTTGCGATCGGGTTCATCGTACTAAAGTACTCTTCCGCTACCGAGTTAAGCGACATTTTTTTCTATAATAATACGGGATAAATTTATGTAATCTTACATACTATTTTATCACAGGTGTTTTGTATTTTTATAATATATTTTTAGACAGCAAATTGATAAATAGACAACGCCTTCATATAGCAAATCACAAACACAGACTAATTATTAAAGAGTGACTTAAAAATAGGCAAATAAGCAACTGTTATTGATATTTGACGTTGTTTTTTTTTTATTGACGTTTAAAGTAAAAGCTATAGACTATAAAGTAATAAGTACCTACAGCGCTATACATATGATAATATGGAAAGTATATTTTTTAATATCTAGGTATATTTACTTTGTAACAACACCAATGAAAAGGTATAGAAATTAAAGCGGAATGTAATAGTTTTTAACACATTAATTAAATTGTTCAGGAATACCGTACATAAATTTTATCACATTAAGACGTGAATTTTATCTAAATGCTGTATAATTCCGACATACTCTGATTTACATTTACATTTTAAAAAATTGTGGTAAAAGATAAAATACTACTTTTAAAAATTGCTACTTGTTATTAATAACCGAATAATGAAACAAATTATAACCTATTTTCTTCTGTTATATCCAAGCTTTAGTTATAATAGCAGTCTGTAGTTTTTTTCAGGGTATTTCATCTAATCTCTATGGTGAAGGGTCTCTAATCTCTATAGCTTAGTTTATGGTTTTAGTAGTATTGATGGCTGTTGTGTCGTTGTTATTTTTATTTTTAAGGCCAAGATTTTGTTTTAAACACATGTCAATATGTTATTTGTTACCCAAATTTACAGTGTTTATGTAACAGTAACGGGTTTAAAACATGCATAAACTGTACAAGCATCAGAAAGATGTTGCATAATAACAATCAATTTGGACCGAGTGATGTTCCAATAAGTGCTGAGACAAATTTGACGTCTGATATTATAAATCCAAATAATGTGAATAGTATCAAGAACATAACTCAGCCCATGCCATTGCCTGCAAACTCAGGATGTAGTATATCAGAATTTCCTTACGGCTTCAATATGAACGCTGGTATGAGCCAATATCCTAATTTTTCATCTGTTGGATTTCCACATAATGTAATGTCACAAAACTCGATGAACTGGCCAAACAACACATTTCCAATGAACTTGAATGCTTCAAATGGCCCATTTGGTATGTCTGTCGATAGGAAACCCTATGAAAAAGAAGTAAATTTATTAAATATCCCTCAAATTCCTAAATATAAGCCAGATGCCCACGTAAACAATTACGCTCATTACAACGACAATCTCTTTAGTAATCAAAATTATCGACCAGTTCATGCAAGCTACGACGACGACACAACAAATAAAAACAGAATTTCTGGAGATTATAAACAATATTTCGAAAGTAATTTAGGTTTAAGTGGTAAAGTAGGTGAAAACGATTGCAATCTAAGTATGATTTCTAAGCCAAATGAAAATTGTTTACAAAAAGATGTTATAAATAAAGTAAAAGAGACACTTACAATGGAACCTGATAGTAGCATCTCAAGTAATCCAGTTACAGATGTGGAAAAAAATTTGACTGAAACTCATCCAAGTGATACAGACACTTTTAGTTTGAGAACCTTTAAGGACTCTGATTCTCGTAAGCGTAGCTTAGAAAAAACCCTAAGAATGCTTGAAATAAGCATAATAAATAGTACAAATTCCAGAAAAATTGCTGAAACAACAGAAAGTCCAAGAAATCATACTGATACATTTAAAACTCCAACTGGTAATGCTATAGATACTTCAGATCCATATTCAGATACAGAACAAAATGAAGAACTAAGTTCAGAATCACAGTATCCTAACTCTACATTAGTAGAAACAAAAAATCAAGAAAAAACTAAACCAGAAGCATCTAAGCAAACAAGTGATGATGAACAATTTAATGATTTATTGCCTGTAAATAAAATTAAACAAGAAACCATACACACAGTTGAAGTTAAGTTGGAAGAGTGGACACCAGATCTGGACACACCAAATCCATTTCAAAAGGATACTTTTGGTGTTCCAAGTGAACATGTTTATAATTGTCACATTTTAGATTCTGAAAATAGTGTAAATATTGCTAAGGAACTTGCTAAAGATGGTAAGTAAAGTGATTTATATACTAAAAATATATGTATATATTTTATGCTATATGTATTAAGTAAGAAAGGATATATGTATAAAATCTATATCTGTCTATTTTCATTCTTTTCACTAAAGTACTCAAAATAGACAGATAAGTACTCATCTGATAAGCTATAGATACCTCTCATGGATACATTCCTGCCATAAAGCTTGCAAGTCCATAGTTAGTTATTTTCTGATTGACACATTAGACTTTGAATTGCTTTCACCCAGTTCAAATACATATGTTATCATGCATTTACAATTATTATAATGTAACAATGTAAGATTTTGTTTTGTTATATGTAATATAAACACTATTTTCCACAGGTGGTACAACAGAATCCTATTTTGAATGTCCATATTGTAGTCTTTACTTTAACAACCCAAAGCGATATTTAATTCATATAAAGTGGCATTCCTTTGGTTTGACAAATGAGAAGAGACTTGAGTTGCAGCGGGAAAAAGAAATGAAGAAAGTATTGAAAAAACAGGCAAGGTATGGAGTGATTTACAATTTATTTAGAGAAGCATGTATTTCTGTGTAGGTTGAACAATTAAATCTGTAGATGTGATATGTATTATTGGAACATCCAATGGGGCTGCGGCATATAATAATTAGACTCTTATGACAAGTAATGAGCCTTCTGTGCCTGACATGCATTGTCAATATTTTGGGTCTAATCTTAAGATTCACAGTTTTAAATTAAAAAGTATGACTACAACATGTTTTGGGATTCACATATTAGTTACAAGTTATACTGAATATTTGACGATGTCTAAGACTTGCTGATTTCATTATGATTTTTTCCTTTACCAAGTGAAGATGTTAGATTCATTAGAATTAAGTAAATAGTTCTGAATTTTCATGTAATAATTTTTTTTCCAAGTAAATAAATGTAATGTTTGTTTTAGAACCTAACAATTATCTTATAAATTTACAATAATTCCAGAATACAGATAAAAAAGCAAAATGAAGAGAAGAAAGAACACGAGGGCCCTAATAAATGTACAATCTGTGACAAGGAATTCAATACATACAGCAGCTTAAAAACCCATAGACAAAAGTAAGTGTTCCATAATTTTAAATATCAGGGCAGACATTGGCAACCATACAAGTAATAAAGTATACTTGAACAAATCATTGCAAGAAAATTAACAATCTGTTAATTTTGGCTTGGCCCAGCATCATGCACTACAATATCTTTGGATATCCTCAGTTTGTAATTGCACTGATTAGCATGCCAAATGACCTCTGCCTAGTCTTTTGGCAAATTGAGCTCCTCCCAATTAGCAGGTCCATTAAAAAAAAACCTGACATCATATGATATTTAGAGTCATAAATTATGCTTAATAACTACAATTGTATTAGATACATATATAATATAAATTAATATTGAATATATTTTCCCACAGAATGCACCCAACCCGTGCAAGAACCTGCAAGATATGCAGTAAGAATGTGTTAGGCTGGCTTGCTATGAAGCAACATATGACAACTCATGAGGAAGCCAGCTTCAACTGTCCAGACTGTCCGAAGAGGTTCAAACATGCACATTCCTTAGCCAAACACCGAGATACACATAAGGTGACCATTATTTTTTAATAAAAAAAAAAATTTCAACTACTTTAACATTAAGGCTATGTTCAGATGGCAAAAACTTGACGCGCGTTTTCAAATCGCGCGACTAGACATTGTGGTATTTTCATACAACTGTTCACATGAGCGCGCGTTAACGCGCGCCAACGCGGCGCTCAGAGAAAAAGTCTCTAGACGCAGTTGATCGCGCGTTGACGCGCGCTTTGATATGAATGTAATGTCCGTATGCTGTTCAGTTGAGCGCGCGCTTTCATCGCGATCGCATGTAATTTTGTTAATTTTCGTAATTATATTTATAACAAACTGGGTCTATTTTTCAAAATTGGATGAACCCAATGTGTACGTTTTCTTTTTCTATATTTTTCTTTATAATATAACCACAAAATAATAGCCTCTTCCACGTCCATTTTCTACGTTCTACCGAACTAGACTGACGAGTACTCTCGCATCGCGCATTAGCGCTCATCATCTGAACTCTCTTCAAATTTGATCGCGCGTTGACGCGCGTTAACGCGCGTTACATGTGAACATAGCCTTAAGCAGTGTTGGCCTAGTGGCTTGAACGTGAACCCCTCAATACTGTATCAGTTTTGTGATCTGTTTTTTCTTAAGAAACAAATGATAGTGAGTGTGCAGCCTTATGTGCCTCACACGCGCCGTCGACTTTAAGGTAATATTTCCTCACGATGATTTCACCGTACGAGCTAGTGTTAAATGTCATTGGTTCACAGCTGTGATCTGCCACTAGGCCAACAATCATGTATGTCTTTGTTTCATTTCTCATTTTCAACCAGGTGATATTTTGCGCCTACTATACTCTGATTTTTCATTCCGTAGAATTCTGACATTTCATAAGTGTTGCTACTAAAACAGATCTCCACCGAAAAAGGAACAAATTTGACTTATTTGAGGGCAAAAAAAAATGCTACGTATTTTTTATGTTCTATCTACAAAAGCGTAAATCTAAATATTTATTTACTCAAGTGACCCAATACAAAAATAACAAATATTTCAATATCACGAACAATATAACGAATTAACTTTAATTACTTTATTTTATTTTGCTGGCATCTCTGCTTACTAATTCCAGGTTTAGTAAACCTTTTTAAAAAATAAAATTGTATCTTTACTTGTGCGTTTTTTACTGTTTGTGATGAAAAGGGACGTAATTATCACTCGCCGTTAAACCACTGTTAATGTGGAGCACCGCACTTAATAAAATGTATGTATAGACTCAGATGTTCAGACTCGTATTGAAATTGAAAAATGTGCACGGCCAAAAAGGTTTGCCATCTCTGACATGTCATAAAATGATAGCTGTCAGAATTCTACGGAATTAAAATCAGAGTATATGCCGTAAATGTTCCCTTTTAATAAAAGAACACTCCAATTATTGTTTAATAATATTTAACTATTTATTAAGATTAAATTTTAAAACCAAAACTTAAGATGGCTGACATTTTCATCTATATGTCAAAGTGACATTTTACATTAATAATTTATCTAGGTGCAATCAATCATGCTTATACGTCATGTGTATAATAAACTTGAGGTACACATACATAAAAACAATGTTTTTAATAATCCAGGAGAAAACACATGGATGCGCTCAGTGTACGAAGAAGTTTGGTTCGGCGACTTTGCTTAACATTCATATGAAGACGCACGAACGTATGATCCGTGGCGCTACTTTCCGTTGTACATACTGCGGAAAGGGCTATTATGAATCCTTTAGTTTGGCGGTAAGTTTACAAGACAATTGGTAATAAAGCTATAGTTGGAAGTATAGAACTACTTTTTTCCTTGAATCGTGTTAATTTTATACCGTTTTGTCATTGAACACAAATTATGAGGTTATATGCATTAATTTTTATATGCATATTTGACTCAGTTTCATCAAAATCAAGAGTAAGGCAGTTGTCCCACCAACACAACGGTGAGGAAACGACTATCGGCTATTTTCTCGCTCAAGAAATGTACAATAGATCGTCGTGATCGTAGAACAATGTCGGATTTGATAAAAATCCAAAATCCACTTTTTATCATATTTGGATACTACATTGACTAAATGCTACATTAAAAAATAATTCAATGTGTTTTAAATTTTAAATTAATCAGTCGGTAAAGTGGCGGATTTGATAGATATACTCATAGACACGTGATTTTCCTAGAAACCTGTAAGTTAATGTTATTTTTTTATTTTGTTTCAAAACAAACCCTTTTGTTTGCTTGTATGCCAATTTTAATAGTTACAGAATATGAATTAAAAAAGTTATGACAAAAAAACTAACATGATTATATTATTTTAAAACGGCTGCCCTGTAAAGTTTACTATTTGTCGGTTAAGTCACTATTACTATCATATCACTACGACTATGACGAGATATACATTCCGTGTAAACATTGGAGATGCATATATGAATAGTTAATCGTTTGACTGTTTATACTGCCGGCGAGGACTCCCTCCACTAGTTGACAAGAGCTATCAAAGATATCTTAGCGATAGCGATGATGATTTATTATAAATATCAAAAGATCATTGTTGTCTAGTTCAGACTGGTGGTAACTATACCATCTGGGGCCCGTGGCAAATTCTTTTGATGGGGCCTTATCAGTAAAAATCATCACGTTGTACTCAGTTTAAATTTAATAAACTTCCAAATTTTCAGCGTACTCAATTACACGTTGTATATGTCCCAGTAATGGCCATAGGCCTCCTCTCTTAGGCGAGAGGGAATGGTCTGTAGTCCCCACGCTAGCCCAATGCGTATTGGAGACTTCACATTCATCCATAGAACATAATATCTCTTGGGCAGGGGCCCGTGGGATTTTGCCAGCCCTGAGTTCAGACGATGATGATGTCTTTTACGAGTAATCGCCCGTCTCACTCGCGCACTCGCTTGTAGCCCAGCGACAAAACTCGTTTCCAATTCTAGCTCTTCTAGTTTATCGTCGGCGCTGGGACATCTGCCTAACGTTTTAAACACATTCTCTAGACTGCCATTTTTTCCAATTTAACTGCGAAAAATATTGTAAAGGAAAATTGTATAGGTTGCTTTGTCCGCGAGTTTACTATTTCACTCATTTTGTGAGATGATGTAGTCATACACAAACACACACCAAATTTATTTTTACGACTCCGTTTGCAATGTTTTCTATTAGCACTTAATACTTATTTTCTTCTATTGTATCTTATGACAATGACCTGATTGTACGTGTTCCGGTCCGGTGGTGGAGAGGCTGGCTGTCACTCAGGTCTCCTGTTACAGAGACCAGTCTCTCACATACACGTCCTAATGTTATCATCTTAGTTTAATCATTATAACCTTGTATGTATATGTGAGAGAAGAAATAAAGATTATAATAATTATTATTATATATTTATGGTTACACAACAGTTTGATTGGTTTTGGTTCAACAATCAATCCCTTCAAATATTTATTTATTCACAAAAATACATACACTAACCTTACAGTACTACATATTTATACAAATCTAAAACTTTCGATTTCTGAGACTTAGCGGGAGGGATAAAGGAAGATATGTTAGGAATTTAATTGTCATTAAAATATTAAAAGCGTCGAAAATTAATTCGATAATAAATACAATTCGTCATTTGAGATTTCAATAAATTATTTTGCATAAAATATAAAATAATGATATTTCATATATTCTCTTTACGAAATTTCGCACTTTTCACTCTCTCTCCCTTTTCTTCGACAAAAACGCTGCACATCTTCGTGACGCTTTCGTAAAAATTTACCCTCATGCGCCTAAAGAAGTTTCACTTTAAAAATGAAACAACATTTAATATTAAATACATGAGATGCACAATATTGCTGCTGTAAATATATGATTTAAAACTTTTTAACTAAAGTTAATTTATTATATAGTATACATTATCCATACATAAAGAGCAGTGTTGGCCCTAGTGAGCATACGACTGTCATACCTAATGTTGTAGGTTCGATACCCAGCTTTGCACCAATAGACTTTCTGTCTAGGTGCACATTTAACACTCATATGGTGAATGAAAACATCGTCAGGAAATCATGCCTTAGATGCAAAAATCGGCGGCGTGTGCCAGGCAAGGTTGATTGCTTGCCAGTGGCGATTTTTGGGGCGGATTTTTTGATATCGCTGGGAGGGGGGGGGAGTGACGTGTATATCGCGTGATTAATAAATCAGTTGACGTTTGTGTCTCGCGCTGCACAAACTTTCCCCCACTCCCTTGTTTAATGCTCAAGAAGTTTGCCGGTATCTGTAATATGCGTTAAGGAATATTTATTTAATTATGTCCTTTTATAAACCAAATAGAATAGTGTACGAAGTGTCTTGTATTGTTATTATTAGTGTTATTTTTTTTTTTTACAGGCACACGAACGGACACACAGAAATGAAAAGCCGTTCACGTGTGATATTTGCAACTCCAGCTTTGGAACTAATTCCAGTCTAAAGCGACATTTGAAAGTTGTAAGTTTTTTATAATTATTACTAGCGAATTGTTTTTTTTTATTTAGCCCGTATTTCGCCGAGATTAGCTTCGGTATGTCAAAAATGTGTTAGAATTTGAAAAATCATTTAGCTAAGTCTCGAATGAATTAAAAGATTACACAATTATATAATAAATAAAATTAAAGATAATTAGGTTACCTATATAGCTTTGGAAAATTTGTCATATAAAATATTTGATCATAATCTATATTACAGGATTGCATTTTTTCTGACAATTCAAATTTTTTTTTTTAAAGTTCTAATAAAAGTAGTATTATTTAATCTCTTGAGCCTTAATAAATAATCTTATTATATATTTTCAGTCCCACAACACAACAAAACCATACGAATGTCGGACCTGTCACAGATGCTTTATGCAGGAATCAATCCGGGATCGCCACGAACTACGTCTCCATAGCAACCCGGAGGATTTCAAATATCCTTGCAAATTATGTACATCGAAATTCATTGAAATGAAGGATCTAAAGAAACATCTTTATAAAGTGCACCCAAAAGTTAAAAGAAAGAAACATTCTGATGATGATTACTCTGAATAGTACGAGATCTAAACGTCTTCAAGTCATACGTATACGCGTATATAACGTACTCGACGTACAAATACTTCGAATATGGTGGGATTCGGATTACGAAAGTTTTTTCCTTTCTATCACTGGTAAAACGAAATGTGTGCATTGAAATAGTACTCAAGTGACTTTCAAATTCTAAAGTGACCGTGGTCTACACAAAAGTTCTACCACTCCAAAAGGTAGTTCAAGTTTACCAACTTGAGAGATGTCAAATTCAAACTACTAGAGAAAACGGTTGGACAAATGTTTATTTGATGATTTATTCTGTCCCAGATTCAAATTTCTTCTGAAATCTTATTGTAATAGGAAGATTTAGATAAAAAGGATTTTATGTTTGAATTTGTCTATGGTTTGGAAGATCAAACATGTAAAGTGATTTAAAAACTTTACTGAAAACATTCTTTTTTCAAAACAAAAGTAATATAAGTCAAGACTTAAAGTAACTATGATGCTTTGTCATTAATTATTTAAATAAAAATTAACTATTAGACACCTAATAGTGAACAGATATTTTATTTTGTACATAAACAACTTTTACAATTTTATAGATCGTTACCTAAGATTAATGTAAAAATTAGGTATATAGATAATTTTAGGGAAATTTTACATATTAATATGGGCACATTCTTATCTGTTTTTAAATTTAGTTCTTAAGGTTGGTTAAAGCACTAACTTGAATATAACACGGTTAATAGCTAATTTAAAACAATTTTAATACAAAACCAATTCGTATCAGAAAGAAAAATATATTTATTGAGTTATTGTTTGACTTAATTAATCATTAGTGTCTCAAAAAATATTTTTTGAATAAATTCTGTATGAGTGTAATTCAACCCGTCCCTTATTACATTGATTTATTATATACTGATTTAGCTTATTTAAATCTATTGGCGGGACTTGATTTTTTAATTAACCAAAGAAACAAATTGATATAATAATATATTACTGACACAATAAAAGGATTAATTTAAATTATAACAAAAAGCCTTAAATAGGCCATAATAAAACCTAGATTAAGAGTAATAGTACTTGTTAGTATTGTTACAATTATTGTTCTATGGAAAAAACATTGTAACCATGGTAACAAACACTACTAACCTTACTTTTTTATGTTTTGTTTTTCCCTATCACTCATGTGCTGCTTTGCTAAAATATGAAAAATATTTATATATTTGGTGTTTATAGCATAAAACTCAGTATGTTTTCAAAGGCCCAAAAGGATAAATTATGGATCTTTTTTTAAAACATATCAATTAAGCTCGCCATCTTTTTAAAATTAAAAAATGAGTATTGTTATAATTTCATGTTAATAAAGCTATTATGTTACTTTTTAGGAAAATTGGTACTGAAACAAAAATCTCAAAATTTTGTTACAAATTATTTTAACACAAAGAGGTATTAAGGAATAGTTAAGTTAAATGTTAAGAATACATAATTTCAGAGTATTGTTATTTTATAAGGTATTTTCAATATGTCTATTGTAATTAAGGAATATTACCAAATTTTTGTAAATATTCAATGTCCTAGAATTTCGTTCTAATAAATATTATTGAATCAATTTTTTTTCTATATCCTTTACATTAACTCATATTATAACATTATTATTTATTATTCATGTTTAGAGCTGGCCCTGGTTACCAGGAGCTTTGAAAACTGAGAATTGTGTGTAAGAACAAATCAAAGAAATCTTTATTACATCACTTAGAGCCCAGATAATAATACTTTAGGCTAACTCTAAGGAATATACATGATATTGTATATGTTATTTGATATAATATAGTAAAGTAAGGTTAAGTAATAAGAAACATATTATACACAAACATTTATTGATACTTATCACTAATTAAAGGAGTTTAAACAAAACAAAAATTGGCAGTTTGTGTCAAACTGTCTTTTGATATACACACTGTATTTAGTATGAAGTTATAATTAAAAAAGTATAAAAAAATTCTGTGGACACAGTTTTTGCTCCCTTTACAGAAATTTAGTTTTGTCTACACCCAAGGTGGCATGCATAATGTGCAGGCAGGTGAAAAAGCATCTATAACCTATATGGCTCCAATTACCAACCAATAAATAGTTCTTTCAAAGCACCTTTGACAACTGCAAACCACCTTAATGTAGCAAAAAAATACATGAAACACTTGAAGAGGATGTTAAAACTGAAATAATTTTAATTTCTTCATAATTTAAATGTTTGACAAAATCTTATTACTTTAAATATAACTTTGTATGCTTTTAAATCAAAAGTTACAGGATTTTAGTTACATATCTCAGATTTACTTACTACCTAGGTTATGCCTCAGTTTGCGATGAAGGTCGTTGACAAAATTTATGTATGTAAGATGTTAGGAAAGGTTATACAGACAAACTGTTTAAGACTACATAATTTAGAACAACCTACTGGTTATATTGACCAAAAACAAAGATCCCGGCTGAATTCTATTATACCTAATAAAAATGTCATCGCCTGTAACAAGTATCAGTTTTTACTATCAAATATGAGTAGTCCCTTCAATGTTGTTATAACAGATTTCTACTGTATGTTGTTTGTATAACCCATACATGAAATTTTAACAACTGCAGTAAAACACTTTTCTCACCATATACAATTAAGTGTTTATTAAGTTGTTAATGTACATTAATAAGTGTTTTAATGCACACTGCATTTTATAAAAAAAAATTAAACAAATTATCTTGCATATTGTATTTAAATAATTATTACCATTTACCCATTACAAACCTTGGCAGACCATTTACTTTCTTATGTTAATTTAATCACCTTGTCCAGCTGCTTGGCGTAGTAATACATAAATCTTTTCTTTTATCCAATCTTTATTGTATGGAGCATAGGTGTTGGTTGACTTTTGGTACACAAGACAACTAAGATCTGCTAACTGGAAGAAAATTAGTATTATAAATTTATTAACTTTGCATTCGTAGTGAAAAAACTTGGTTTAATTCCAAACAAAAATAAATGTTACAGTTTTATAAAGAACATAATATGGTGGTTACACTTGAAACTGGTTTGATGTAAATTCCTATGTTTTATATTCATATGTTGAAGGAAATAGCAGAACTTTTTTAAATAGTATTGAATACAATCTATTAAAAAGTCAGGTGATAGCAAACTTACTGAAAGTCTGTCATTAAGTATTGACATAATTACTAATTAGCTGGCTGTATTCGGTACAGTATTATTATTGTTCCTAGTTACATTTATAATATTAATCGTCGAAATATCTATATTAGGATAAGATCAATACGTACTTGGTCTATAAAATCAAATAGTTGTGAAATATCATATGTTATTGTCGGCGTATTTGGGTTTCTCCGTTTTAAATGTTCCTCGTATATCTTGCAGACACCCTCCATACAATCATTAACGCTTTCGTAGTCTGAATATGTTCTCGTCTCAGGTCTTTGTCCCGGTTGAACCAAAAGAATTGTGTGCGACTGTAATAACATAACCTGACTTTACCGCCATTTTTGACGCTATAAATTAATATTTACGTACGTGTACGCTTCAACTCCTTACTTACCATTTTATAAGCTTATTGATAATTTCTATGCCTCGAATAAATAAATTAATTGTCAAAATTCACGAATATATCGAAAATCGAACACCAGTTAAATCATCAAGCCTATTTTTTTTAATTCGTAAATCAGAATAGCCAATCACAATTCACAATGCATTATTGGGGACAGACCCGAATTCAAATCTACTCTACAGACTCAAAAAAGGAAGCTACAACTAGTGCGTTTTCCAATTACAGAGCATTTTTCGACTCAGTGCCGCACAATGCCGCATAATGCTGAAGCTTAATTGGAACGTGAATTAGTTTTCAAATGCATCAGCAGAGTGCGCTAAGTCAGTGTTGACAAAAAAATGGTCTGAATAGAGTTAGCAACCTCATTAATGTATAAATAATGTGGTAAACAATAATAATTGGTTGAAAACTTTTTACGCTTAATTTAATAATCAAATTATTTCATTAAATTTTTTTTACTGAAATAAGAGAAAACCTTTAAAGAATATAAGGTTTTACCAAGCTAAATTAACAGTAAAATATTTAGTTTCATGTAAGAAGTTTACATCATTTACGTTTTGAGTAATATTTTTTAATGATTTCTAAAAAAATATATACTTTTTCAAAAGCATTGCAATTTTTTTTAAAGTATAATTCTGTAAAGTAAATTTGTTTACAGATCCGAATTTTAAAATAAAATTGTATTCATATTTTAAATGTGGAATATAAAAAAAGTAACTATTTATACCTTCATCCATACTAATATTTATTTTTTTAGCAGTTTGAAATAACTTTAATTATTTTCAAAATCTACGACGAAACGAAAGCCTTACAAATTTTTCAACAATAAATAATATTTACTTACGAAAATTTCGATAAATGCCAACTTAAAGAAAAATACTGGTCAATTTTCTGTCACTGTGTTGGTATTGTTTGCGAGAGCATTCGTTTTGAGAGTGCTCAATTGTGCGAAGCGTTGCTGTAGTTGGAACACTCAACGTTGAGCATTATGCCGCAAAATGCGCTCTAGTGCTGTAATTGGAAAACGCACATAAACTGTTTCTATGGGCCTTTATTTTTTGTATTTAAAATATATTTTTTTTTATAGTAGATATTTTTTTTAGTATCAATCTATCTTAAATTTTTAACTATATTAAATGAACAAATGATTCGTTGTATTAGAAATCTGTGATTCGTTAAAAAGAACGTATTTAGTTATCCGTGTATACATATTCTGTTATCCTGACTGAAAATTACAGGCTGTTGGCAAAATATACGCATGTAAAATCCGTAATACTTATTAAGGATTCTGTAAACACTATATTGCTCAAATGTTATACATCTACAAATTATTACTATTAAAGTAAAACTACGTTGTATACTCTTTCAACCTTAGTAACGGTTGTTATTTATTTTTTTATGCTGTTACTCTTGCGAAACCTCTTGAAAAAATCTCTTTTACGAAATATACCTTCTAAACTATTTCTTTATTGCTTTTGATCTTGTTTTTCCTCCTGTATTCCTCTTATCTACAAGTTCAGCGACCAGCACAGTAAAACATCCCACTCGGGCCACTTCAGATATTACTTACTTGCATATTCTTTTAATAACACACAAAAGTATTTACAATATTCTAAACCTACATACATATAATATACACTTACGTAACTGATTTACTACTTATTTAAATCCGGTTAAAGAAATCGAAAGCTCATCTGTTTTTTCATATGTAGGCAAGAAAATTTATTGACGTGAGTCTAACAGATTTTCTTTAACTTTAACAAATTCTGTGTATATAATATATTTTAATAACAGCTTAATAAAATCAAATGAATATGAAATATAATGAATATTTTTGCATGCGCTTATTTATGATGGCAATACTAAGGAATTCGCAATTCGCTTGTATCCGGCTAATAAATAAATTAAAAAAAAAAAAAACGCAATTCGCTTTCAAGTTTATATTATAATCTTTGAAGTTTGAAAAAAAATATTTCAAGAGGAAAAGACAAACGTGAAAGTCGTGTCATCAATTATATTTGAGAAATAAACTTTATAGTATTTTTTACAGTGATTTATCTAATAGTGATATTTTACATGGATATTTGAGTATAAACATCGAACCTAGTGCTAAAAATGATTATAGAAAATCCAGATGCGTTCAAAACATGGTTGACCTCCATATTGGAACCCCTGTGAGTATTATTTAAGGAAGATCCCTAGAAATTGAAATGATAGTTATTTATTTAGAGTTTAGGTACTTCTAAATTAATTTAAAGTTTTTTAAACGACTGGAAGTAACTACTATTTACATACGATTTATTTGGAAGCACATTCACCCTTAGACCATTTCGCAATGTCGAAACTCAAATTATGCACTTATCTTGACGTTTCAATTTCTCAAATCCATTTTATAGCGAATGTTTCGGGTTTTTAATATTACTCATATTGTTAACTTTAAATTACAAAATAAACTACGGTACAAGTTCTCTCTCAAATCATAGTCTGCAATATTAATTAGGACATAACCTAAAAGCTGTTATCAGGTATAATTCGATTAATTATTTTTATTCCAAGAGAGCTCTTGTTTTTTGTAATATTGCATGAGAAATAAATTTACGATAAACGATCTATGATGATGGATTATATTTCCAGCGTTTTTAATTATAATGTAATGATTTTAGGCTAAATATATAGTATAAATTTTAATTCAAAACATATCAATTAAATTCTATAATAATGTAATTTGATTAATTTCCTTTTCTGTAGTTATAGTTACACTAAGGCATACCATTAAACAATTTGATAAAAAATACAGTTTTTGCAATTTATATTTAAATGTAATTTGTGTCTTTATAGTATGTAATGTATTCAAATGTAAATTTCAAGTACATTTTATTTATGCAATATTAAAATTACATAACACAATCGCAACCTTTCATTGCTCTGAGAAATAATTACTTGTTTTGTCCTAGTTGTTATTTAGGGCTATATACCAAAATATTTATCGTATATTAGTTATATAGATCTCCATTCTAAGCTTCATGGTTGACTTAAATCATTTAATAGATATTGGAATACTTTGGATTATACAGATCACATTTTTAAGCAACATTTATCGAACAGTATGTAAAGTATAGATTTATAAATAAGTTTTTACTCATGCAGTGAATTGTTAATGTCAGTTTATTTTAGTATCACTGCTGTTACCACACACATTATCTAATTTTAGATATCATTGGATATATTAGTCAACCATTCATGATAAAAACAGTATGACAGTTATTACATAGTAATTATTTCAATATTATACATATACATATTATAAGTATGTTACAAATATTTATTTTAGAGAGATTCATCATCTAACACATTGAAACTAACTAACTAACCTAACCTTAAGTTTTAAATTCTAATTTTAGCTAATAAACTGTAAAATATTAATATTTTACTATTGCAGATGTGATGCTGATCCGGCAGCATTAGCCAAATATGTCTATGCACTTGTTAAGAAAGACAAGCCATTGGATGAGCTTCGTGATGGAATGCTGGATCAGCTTGATGTGTTCTTGCAACAAGGTAATACTTTTTTAAATTAGCAGTAAAAACATTGAAATTATTATTAATACTAAAATTGCTTAGTTAAATTTGATGCATAGACAATCTTCGACAATCAACTTGGTAATTATTTTATGAACTTTGTATAATTCTTTACAGAGACCAAACCGTTTGTAGAGATGCTGTTTAAGGCATTGGAGAGCCAGGAGTACCTAAAGCCTGTTGAGGAGAAGAAAGATGAAATGGCAATAGAACCTGAAGTACCAGTTGAGGAGCCACAACCTGAGAATCATGGTCAGTGATGGGTACAAGATCTAATGTAAAATGTTTATAATTGATGTTTGTAAGATATTAGTAGATTGTATTTTATTTATGTTATTTGAGACATTTCTATGTCATGTGTAAGGCACACATGGCTAATAACCAAATAAAGCATGAGCACTTGGCAATAAAGAAAAAAATACACTGTAACAAATGTAGTGGCCACTATCAGCAACTATATGAGACTTCATACAATAATATATTTAATTAACCTAAAGATGAATTTGTTGTCATTATCATATTTAAGCAAAACATCTTTGATTATAAAGACAATTTTTTCTCGCTGGCAATGACTATTTGCAAGCTAACAATATTAACATATGTTTTTATAGTGGCTCCAATGCCTACGGAGCCTGAAGACAAGCAACGGAACAATTCCCCCCCTGCTGCAGAAGTGAAGGAGCCTCCTCGACACCGAGTGGTGGTACCAAGGAGACCTCCGCAACATGAGCATACTCTAGTCAAGGTTAGAACGTAATATTACGCGTCATGTTATGTGTAATCACGTATTAGACTAGAGATTCCAATGACCGATCTTAATTGAATCATTGTCTTTTGATCGAGCACATAATAATTAATACATATAATACAAATATTTTATATTGGAATATCAATCACAGGTATTACCTACTGAACTCCTAGAAGAACCAGTGGAACCTCCAAGGAGAAGAGATAGAAGGAATGACTTGGTAAGAAACCACTTTATTATAACTTTAGCTGTATATTTAATATTTAAAAAAATATGTATATCTTCTCTTCTTCCAATATTTATCTCATTTTGTGTCTCCACATTTACAATAATAATAAGGCTAAGAGTCGTAGTCGCGTAATTCAATCCCCGCCCCGCATTGTCGTTTTACAAAAAGACCTCCCCCCCCAAAATTCGTTACGTAATATTTGAACGCTCCAGCCACTTGCACAATTTTTACACTGGGGTCTCCCGATTTCAGATACGTGATAAAGATGACCGTCGCCGCCGCCGTTCCCGGTCATGGGAGAGACGTTCCCGGGCGAGACGACACCCACGTGACGATGGACATCCGGATAGACGGTATGATAAGAGGTAACTAACAATACTAACATACATCGCTTTTCGCCTAACAGTACTAATCACATCTTAGATCAGATTCATAAATCAAAATTTGAAGTAATAAACATATTGAAATTTACATAATTACATTTACCGACCTAACTGTCACATGTTAAATGTCATTGTAATGACAGTTGAAGTTGGTTGACAGCACCACTTATCCCCTTAGACATATTTATCTTAATACAGTGTAAACTTTTTATTTTTTTTCGTTATAGAGAGTTTTCTTTATATGGAGTGGATAAAAAATCAAATTTAACCAATTACAATAATTTCTAATTTTATTACTATACATAGGTAAATTATTCTAAACACAACGCTTTTCTTTTACTGGCCATCTTGACAGTTTCAAAGTTTGTTAACGACGATAATACACGATAGGTGACGGTGGTGCGTTTAGTTACTGAGACCAAAATTTTCTTCGGGCAATGTAATCTAAGAATAATGGCACACGTGTTAATGAAATTAACAATAACAAAGGTTTTTCGGCACCTCAGAAGGTTAGTTTTGTAAGCTGATTATAAAAACAATTATACTTAAGTATGTTGTTGATGTCTAAATACGAAAATATTTCTTCGTTATAGAGAATGGCTATTGCTTTATAAAGAATGAATTAATGTATGGGTTTTGTGTTAAACCAAACAAATGTAACGATTATTTTTACGTTATAGAGACTTTTTCGTTATAACCAATGACGTTATAAAGAGTTTACACTGTATATTAAAAAAATGTTCTTTTTTAACATTATTTTGGGCTTTAAATAATTTTGGACATTGTATTTATTTAATTTTAATAGTATACATATAAATGTAAATAAGTAAATGTTTATAATAATGGTGTTATCAAAACAATACTTTTATTAAAAACTTACCATTCATAGTATAACCATTAAAAATATGTGCAAAACCTGCTTTAATAATTTCATGGCTATGAGTCTGACCTAGGTTTCCATCATATTTTACAGCTAACAATCATCTAAATAGCAAACTATAATCGCTTAACTTAATGTCCATTGTTTGAATCTAAGTTTGAAGGCTTATTAACATTAACTGCATTTTAGGAGACCCTCACGATCTCCATCACCAAGAGGTCGGTATAGGAACAGAAGTCCACCGACTGCATTGTTGGATAGACAGCCTAGCCGGTCTAGGTAAGATTTATTTGATGCTTTTTAAGGCCTATTATTGTGATAATAAATCATAAACCAGTGGGGCTAAATCTATTTCGGTTTTGGCCTAAATTGCATTAGTCTTTATTAATTTTTGTTTTATAGATAAGAAGGTGATGAGCCTGACTTTTATATCTGGCCATGCTGGTTTATTTCACTTTGTAATTCAATATAGGGTATACAACGAGTTTCAAACAAATTGGTTCAGTTGTTTTTGATTTACCCATGCTTGCACATGTTTAATATTTACCTAGGTAAATAATGGGAACAGGTATTTGAAGTCTGAATGAAAAGGATTTCTGTATGTATATACTTTTATTATAGAAGCAGAAAGACAAGTTAAATTATATATGAAAAGTGTCTAGTCTAAGATATAATTCTAGCTTAGTTTAATACAACAGCTTATTTGATTAGAAGGAATTTAAAATTGTTTAGTAAATAAATGTTGATAACAGAATGTATGTATGAGAAATTGCTTGTTTATTATAAAACATTAACAATCTACAAGTTATAGTCTACAGTCTAAATTGTCACGTCTCAACTTCTATTTTGCAGTATGACATCCACAGACTATACCTAAATAAAGAAATATATTTTAGTTATACAGATAATAAATTTAACTGTCATATTATTTTGGTTTTAGTAAGACAGGTGTTGCTTTGGTAAACTTGGTGTGTAAGTTAAAAATAATTTGTATTTCAATATAAGTAATTTATTAATAATATTTTAGGTCAAGATCTCCAGTTACTCGTGATAGAGATCTCGAGAGAGAAAGGGATAGGCTGCGTCCCGCGCGTGAGTTGGAGCGAGATAGGATGTCGCGCGACCGAGAGCACCGGGATCGCTTGTCTCGCTCTAGAGACCGAGAAAGGTTAGTTCATTAATAAAAGCCCATCCACACGCTTGACAAACAATGGCAAACAGCTAACAGCAAACAGCAAACACGGACGTGTGGATGGGTGTTTGTCGTTGTTTGCCTGTTTGTGTTCGTGTTGGGCAGTGTTCGGCATCGGTGTCGGTTTATCTTGCCAGATCAAAGGATGTTTGGCAAACAGTTTGCTACGTATCCACACGTTTGGCAGCGATCAGTATGCGCGCGAGCTTGCGGGAGGCGGACGTATTTACTTGCTACACTTTCGTTGGCGCGCAAAGCGTAAAAAATGTCTGATTGGAGCACCTACGATTCTGACATTTTTAAGTAACTTTTAAGTAAATTTAAAAAAAAACACGGCAAAGTAAAGCTCAAATAATAGGTCTAAAGCCTTGTACGCTTTCTATGTATTTTAATCATCCACCATCGTCTTTGCTTTCTTCTTTTTTTCCTTTTTTCTTTCTCTTGCTTTAATTTATAATAAAAATATGTCAACCCGAAAGTAATAGCTGCAACAAGCTCGTCGTCCGCCATGTTTGCCGATTCGGAATGTTATGAACGTTCGCCAAGCATGTGGATGGCTGTTTGTGTTGGGTGATTGTGGTTGGTGTTTGGGACTTCGTTTGCTTTTTGCGGTGTTTGTGACAAACAGCCAGCGTGTAGATGCCCCATTAAAGAGTGTTTATTGTTTGTTAAATCAGTGATACATCTTGAAAATATATAAGATGTTATTTTTATTTTATTATTGCCTATATTTAAATTTTTTTATGTTTTACATTTTCTATGATCTAAATTTTCAATATTTTTATGTATAGTCTATGTTCTATACTGGCAGTGTTGGCCTAGTGGATTCAACGTGCGACTCACATCCATTTTACAAAGTTCTTTTTAATTTTGCCTTTGAATTACAGGGTGAATTGTGGCTATGTATAAAATTTGTTTAAAGGTTTAAATGAGTTTAATAATAGTACGTTATTTGTTACGTAATAATTGAACAATTATTAATTATTATACAGCGTTTTTTATTATTACGTAACAAATTTTGAGGGGTCGGGGGTCCTTTTGTAAGACTTTACGATGCGGGGCGAGGATTGAATTACGTTAATATTATATCAACAATAACTTAAATTGTTAATATTATATTAACAATAACGCGTAATTCAATAAATAATAATTTAAAATAATTTTCGACTTTCCAGTACTTTACTCCACACATAATGGTAACTTTTAGGTATAAAAAGGGGTCTGGTGGTCACGAAACGTTTTACTATTGGGTACAGAAAAACGATACAATTGCAATAATCTCCAAAAATTGCGTGACGTAATACTTGAACGGTCCCTTAACGGTCCCGTAATATTGCCTTTATGTAAGTTTTTTTAAATTTTATATTTATTTTACCAGGTCTCGTGACAGATCGCGCGATAGGACGTTATCGCCGCACGACACAAGATTAGACCACACGGACACGTACAAACGCAGATGTAGAGACTTTGACGGTAAGATTATAATTTTTTCGTTTAGCTTTTCAGTTTTTAACCAAATAGTTAATTGTTTATCTAACTGTTCAAAACGCTCTCTCTCAATATGCATTTATATTCATATATGTAACTGAACAGTTAAAAAAAAAAGGGTGCGTGTACTTATGTACGCGCGTAAGAAGTTATACTTCTTTGGCTTTCTTTATTTTTTTTAAATATAATATTAATTAATAATTAATATTTAACGTAAACAATTTAATAATATTTAGTATATTATTCAATTATTAATTAATATTAATAACAATTATTATTATTTATTATTTTATTATATTATTCATTATATTTAATAACTTGCTATGTTTCATAACCTTTTAACTAAGTAACAATAGGTCTTTGTGAAAAAGCATTGCTAAATTTCTTTGAAAAAATAAATAAACTCCTTTATTTGTTTAAAAGGTCATTATGGTCATTCAAAATTCTTGGCATAGCTGCTAACTTCAAGCATATTTTATTTCTTTTTACTTGTAGATTGTCTTATTCCCATCTCGCTCGCGCACGCTATAATCACACTGACAACTTTGTGTCTCAGGTGCGCATCGTAAAATTTCACTCTCATCAATTTTTCATAACGCGCCTAAAGAAGTATAACTTCAAAAATATAAACTAGTTTTTGTATTTTTAACACGTAATTGTAAACATTTTGTCGTTAACGTATATTTTTTTAACTCACTTAATAAAAACCTAAGGATGTTTTCAATTTGATAAAAACTACTGTTTAAAGTAGTTATAGTAGAATACTTTTTTAGTTTTAGAGTATAATTTTATAGTAATGTGACAAAATAGATAAGTAATATAAAGACAAAAAAAGATAGTGTTATCAATCATATTAAATAGATTTTGTATAAGTTTCAAATATAACATATACAAACTATTATAGATGTAAGGGAGCGTTCAAGTATTACGTCACGCAATTTTTGGAGATTATTGTTTTTTTTTTTAAAGACAATTTACACCAATTGACCTAGCCCCATGCTAAGCTGGTGAAGCTTGTGTTATGGGTACTAGGCAACGGATATATGTACATACATATTATAGATAGATAGACGTATAAATACATATTTAAACACCCAAGACCTAATCACAACACCAAATGCTCATCACATCGATGTTCGTCTCAGCCGGGGATCGAACCCGGGACCCATGGATTCGCAGTCAGGGGTACTAACCACTAGACCAATGAGTCGTCAAATCGATTATTGACCCCGCCCCCCAGTAACGCGCCGTAACGTTTTTCTGTAGCCAATAGTAAAACGTTTCGTACGTTTTAAAACTTGAACGCCCCCTAAGGTTGTGGTGACCTGTTACCACAGAACTTCTACAGTCCTATTAAAGGCACCAGCCTCTCACAAAGATGGTCAATATGCAGCATGCCAAAGAAAAATCCAATATTGTGAAGAGGCAAATAAACTTTATTATTATTATACAATGTATTGTGTTGTTGATTGTATTATGATATTTCAGTGAAAGGCTACTGTATGCGCGGCGATCTTTGCGAATGGGATCACGGTGTGGATCCCGTTGTGCTGGAAGACGCTGCTCTTACCAGAGTTCTGGCTTTGCCACCACCTGTGCCAGGTAAAGATATTGGTAATTTAACATTTCACTGTTTTATCTCGAATCGAATATAGTACTTGATATGATATGTTTTACATATTCCTGTAATAAAATTGTCGTAATTAATTAAGTTTTCATCAAGAACTACTCATGTTATAATAATAGATTATATATTATATAGATAAATAATATTTTAAAATGCCACAGTCTAATAATTTCTTTAAATTAAATTTATTTGTATTAATAAAACACTATTTTGACCGGATTGAAGTTATGTATTATTATAAATTTACAACTATTTAACATAATTTTAAATAGTTGTAAATTTATAATAATATATAACTTCAATCCGGTCAAAATAGTGTTTTATTAAATGAATAAAAGTTATGTTAATCAAAGACAATATTATTTGTATTATAAAAGTTTATAGCTTGTAAGCGACTCGCAACACATTAAAAAAATTTTTTTGTGTCCCAACAATCAAATCTTAAAATATATAATAAAATATACTAATAATCCAGTGATACAACCCTGAATGAGTATTTTATAGACAAGTAGGTGATCACCCTTCAGTGCCTGACACAACATAGTGTCTGAGGCCCACATCATAGAACGTCAATTAAAGCTATCAAGAGTTGTCAAACTGTTCTGTATAAGGTTTGACATATTTGACAGTGCTCAAAACGAGCGTGTGACTTGAGAACACTGCTCAAAGTATATGCATTTCAGAATACAACCCGGCCACTCCGGACATCTGGGTGGGAGGAGGATTCGCGGCTTTCCCCCCGGCGCCTCACCCCCCGCCCGCCCATCACATGACGCCCAGGGAACTCGTGCCTATACCTAGGTAACTGACAAATCTATATAATATATATAAATGTTATGTTGATTTGTGTACGCTTCAATAACTCAAAAAGTTCTGCACCGATCGAGCTGAAGTTTTATCATGATATATAATCCGCATCAAGGATTGTTTTTATCTATTTTTTTTTCATAATTATTATCGATTTTTTGTTTTTTCGCAATTTTTTTCCACAAGTATTGCAAAATTAAACTTCAAAGTAATGTATTATTTAGAATGTTATAATAGTAGAAAAAATAAATAAAACCGAAATTGTAATTAAACAAAATATGCTTTATCCAGAGTACGTCACGAAATGCCAACTGGAGCGATGGTACCTCCCGTGCCGAGACATCCTCCGCCGATGAAGAAGAACTTTGACTATAATAGACTTGGTAAGGAATTATGTAAAATTTAAAAAAAAATCAAATTAGAATTGCGTAGAATTTTCGTCTTTTAAATAATGTGATTTTGAATCGCGAAATAATATGATTAAGCGAACACAGGACTGAAGGGTTGTTCACTATGGGCAGCTATTCTTAAGTGTATGCAATATACAGACATACATTTGTATTTGTAACTGTGTGCTGCGATATTGCGGGCTACTGCTGAGGAAGTTGCATGGATCTGGTCTGGCGTCTTCTGAAGGTCTCTGAAGGTCATTTTCACACGTGTATATGCTTTCTATAACATAATTTCATAGTTATCTGATTGTTCTTATTTTAACATGTGTGATGTTTGAGAGCAAAAATAAAATGTAATAAACACCAACATATTAATATTTTGCTATTAATAATAAAAGACCCCATAGAGACTGTTCGCTTTTACGGAATATAAACCAAAGTATGTACTAGTAAAAAAAAAATTCAACTTTTTTCACCATAAAAACCTTGTTGTTGAATTTTGTTATCCGTCTCTGTTTAATTATAATATAATACTTAAAAAAAAGTGCGTGCGTATAAAGTACACATGGCAGAAGTGAAACTTCTTTGGAAAACTAATTTTTAACTCTGATTTCCGAGACTTAGAGGGAGGGAAAAAAGAAGATATGTTAGGAATTTAATTATATAATACAATTAGTAAAAATATTAAGTGTGGAAAATTAATACAAATTATAAATTTAATTTTTTTAATTTATTTCCTCGGTAATAAAAACACATATTAATTTACAATACGTCATTTCATAAATTCTCTTTTTTAATTTTTAAAATATAATTTCTATAAGGTAATTCGCCCTTCTCACTCTCTTTCAATCGGTCGCTCTCCCCCTTTTCTTTCTTCTTCGTGACGTTCCGTAAAAAATTTACCCTCATGCGCCTAAAGAAGTTTTACTTAAAAAATTATAGGATAGATTCCCATACGAAATTGAAAGAAAAGTAAAAGTTTAAAGAAAAAAATAATAAATACAAAACTGTTACCCCCAGATCTAATTGTATTATATATTTACTAGGCTCTAACAGACCACCGTTACCGGGAAAGGGTATGAATTGCTCCTTAGAAGTGAAGAAAGTGCCTCACGGACTCAACGATATAACACATCTGAACAACCACTTCAGCAAGTTTGGCAAGATCGTTAATATTCAGGTAAGTGGGAAATATCAAATAAGTGGTAGTTTGAGACCTAGAAGCATTGTTTAGTGCCTATCTCATACCTAATCCGCTGTTTTGCTGGTAATTTGTTTATTGTTATTAAGCAAAAAATTGATGGTATATTTTTTTTTGTAGCATTAATGTTTACCGAAATTGTCATATATATTCAAAGTTAGAGTGTACTCGCACTCAAAGGCCGGCAACGCACCCACTAATAATGCGATGACAGCCCTATAATATTAAATAAAAATATTTTAGAAACGATAGCTTGTGAGTTGTAACATATACTGTAAATATAGAATTTTGTATGATGAATCAATCAATATGGTTTAAATTACCAATCATTCTCAGGGATTGGCGAAATAGGTGAAAGTAAAAGTATAAATTATTAATTTGGTTGATAAGCTACGCAGATATTCGAATTTTGTGTAAACTAATCATCATTAGTTAATTAGTTGACAATTAAATGGTCATTATTTGTGAAGAATCAACTATAAATGTCTTATTGTTAGAAGCCTTCCTTTTGACCCGTATTGTTGGGGGAAGGCGACGTATTGTCACAAAAAAAACTGATCGTATCGACATGAAACTACCACCTGATTTTAATTTATATATACAGACATCTAGTTACGTTTTTTTTTGCAGAATTTTAACTGATTTATTCTAAGTTGGTTTAAAATGTTAAAAATGACTCTCAAGAGTCAATGTTAGAACTCTTACTTTTTTTAGCATCCGTTGGTTTAAAATGTTAAAAAACAAAAAAAAAAGGAGAAAATGTTAGACACACACTAGGTCGTTGTGGTCTTTCTGGCTAACTAAGCCAGACTAGCTCCTTCCAGAAGCACAGAAGTATCCTGGGCACTTCGCAGGCTTCACGAAGCTTTCTGTACGTTGGTTAGCCACAGCCTCGCACTGTTTAAAATGTTAATTTTAACAGGTTTGCTTTGAAGGCGATCCCGAAGCAGCGCTTGTGACATTCTCTAATCCAACGGAGGCAAATGTTGCCTACAAAAGTACAGAAGCAGTGTTGAATAATAGATTCATCAAGCTGTTTTGGCACAACCCTGAGGTGAGTTTTTCATTCATTTGTTATATTAACGTTCACATTCAATTGAAAATAAATCAGTATCGCTACATGTAGCTAAATGTTTTACCTACATGAATAAAGTTATTTTATCTTGACTTGATATTTTAAATAGACTAGTAAAATTGTGTTGTCTAGACGTCGGACCCCAGCGTAAAAATAAAATAGCTTTTTCATAACTTTATATAAATTTTAGAATACTTTTATCGCTTTAATAAATATACGATTAAATCGACATAATAAATAAAATAATAAACCAGTACTACAACCTTTTTAGATCTGCGCCTTAATTATCTGTGTCTGTTTCATGATCATTTGTCAATCTAAGAGGCACGTGATGATCAGCCATTTGTGCCTGACGCCGTCGACTTTTTGGGTCTAAGGCAAGCCGGTTTACTCACGATGTTTTCTTTCACCGTTCGAACGAATGTTAAATGCGCACATAAACAGAAAGTCCATTGGTGCACAGCCGGGGATCGAACCTACAACCTCAGGGATGAGAGTCGCTCTCTGAAGCCACTAGGTCAACACTGCTGCTTTCCATTGATATAAATAATAGATATTTATTGGAATATTTTCAGTAAAACTTACTAAATTAAAATTAAATTTTCGAGGTTGTGTTAAAAAGTTTCATATTATATAATTTATTTGCCTAAATGTTGGTTAATGTTATTATGAAGCAAAATTTGCCATTAGTTATAATGTATTTCAATTAACTATTAATTATTTTGATAAATTAAATTATTAAAGTCCAAAATGTAAGAAAGGGTTATTTACGTGACTGTTAAAATAATAATAACATTATAAGTATCAAATCTTTAAACAAGAAATCATCCGTCACACTATTTAAATAATCTTGAGTTAAACACATGATTTCTTGTGTTAATGAGTTGGTATTTATAATGATTTTTTTTTAATTTTAACGGTCGCATAACTAACCATTGACTGTTATAATTTAAGTTCTTCGCCAGGCTAAAGTCTGTAGAACTTTTTATTATTTAATAAAACACTATTTTGACCGGATTGAAGTTACGTATTATTATAAATTTACAACTATTTAACATAATTTTAAATTTATCCGACGTTTCGCGTGCTTTACAGCGTGCGTGGTCACCGTGAATGAATAAAAGTTATGTTAATCAAAGACAATACTACTTTTATTATGTTTTTCTAGAAAAATCCATAAAACTCGAGACGTTTTTTTTGCATTAAGCAAACTTTCCAACATGAGGTTTTGATTCACATGCATTTATATCACAGAACAAACAAGAGAACGCAGCGCCAATCGCTCAACAGAAAAACCAGAACAGCAATCCACTCTCGCACAACAAAGTCTACATCAACAAAGACAACATTAAGGCTAGTGAGCAGAATAAACAGAAAGAAAAGGTATTGTTTGAAATATATATATTTATTTTATAATTTTGATAAGGGTGATCGTCACATTTGATACACTTATTGGTTCGCTTCGTAAAAGAGAGTGTTAAATGCTCACATAGAATTGGTAGTTACGACCGACTCATGTAGGCCAACACTGCTTATAAGAATTTAGTATTGTATTTATATAAAAAAAATGTGAGCCGTCACGGGACGCCTGGTAGATGTGAAACATCGACATTATTTTGTAAAAGTAATATGAAAAGCAGAAAAGAACAGATTGTGAAAGGAACTAAATATGTCATCATAATAAAATAAAATATTACGATTTTTTTTTCAGATAACGATGACTATTTATTGAATAATAATTTATTTTCATTAAATACAATAATTTACGAATTTATTTCAAATCGTGACTACTTAATTCGTTTAATCAGTGACTTCGAAATACACACACCGTACACACTACTGCATATAGACTGTATATATATACCATCATACAGCGTACAGACGCGTCGCCACGCCAGAAATCGGTTTTACGTGCGGCTATAGATGTTTCCCATAAAAATGTTTTTGCAATTAAATTTTTGAACCTTTGTTTTAAAATTTATAAAATCCATAAATTGGCAATTTAAACAAAGGACCCAGAGTTTATTGTTAGTTCTTCTCGTTGTTAGGTTTTGGTTGATGATTCCAGAAGACAGGTTACACGAAAATGTGTACCAAAAATATTGTTTTCCCAAGTTCTACCTCCCGTATTCGTCAGAACTTCATTTTGATTAAGATATAATTTCCAGTTGAAAGAGACGAACGGCGAAACAGAGAAGAAAGACGAGAAACCGTTGGACAAGTACAAGGAAGTGATGGAGAGGTACAAACGTGCCCAGGTGCTTCTTCAGACGCAGCTGACGCAGCAGAAAGTTACCATAAGCAAGTTGGAGAGTGGTAAGTGAAGTATTGATGCTGTCTAATTGCTATTTTAATTGTATAGGAATTTATGGAAAGATTTGGAAATATTAAAATAATGACAAAATTACGTCAAAAGTTACCGAATGCATGAAACCTTTCAGTATTTTTAAAATCAATTGCTTCAAGAAATTAAATTAAATAAAACTTTCATTTATTCATTGAATTCACCAAATTAACTAGTTTCGGGAACCCACAGTTAGGCTTCACGTTCAAATTCAAAATCATTTATTCATTTCGGTAACACAATATACACTTATGAACGTCAATAAAGAAATACATATTAAATGCTTCTAATTTTACATTTACTGCCAGTTCTCAAATCAAGGGCGTAGAACGGAGGAGAAGAACTGGCAATAAACTCTCCGCCATTCTTTTTTATCTTGATATGTTATGTAAATAATTTACTGTCACTCAAATTGTTTTAGTTCGAGGTCATTTGTTTAAAAGATAAATAAGGCAACCGTATTTTAACAGGTAACGTCAGTGAAGAGCAGAAAACAGAATTCATGGAGACGATAAAGGCTGCACAAGGGGCCATAGAGAAATTGAGGAAAGAACTTGTTGCATACAATGGCATGATCAAACATTTGCAGGTATGAATTATTTCTATAGGAAATTAATTTCCTAAGTAATAAATGACCGCCAATAGAAATATTTATGTATGTATAATCTAAATTTATTTTATTAGAAAATGTTTTATCAAAATGACTATAGAATTTTTTTTAAACGTGACAAATAATATAACTAGAAATTGAAGTGAAAATATTAAACAGGAGGAGAATGTGTCGCGCTCCATGTCTCGGCTACAACTGAATCAGGTACCGGAATGTTGCGTGCGCGGACGTTTATGTGCATCTACCCTCATTCGCACTTTGTGCAACTACCCTCATTATTTCATTTTGTGCCTGAGCTATCCCACTTTTCACATCTTGGTTTTTACCGATTTTCGAATAGCACATTAATCATTTTCAGTATATTTTAAAAAAAATGTGGCTATTAACGATAATCCTTCATTGTATATTAAAAACATGGGTTCATAGCTTCACTTACATATATAATTTTAACTAAAAAACAAGGAAATAGAAAATATTTCATTAGATTTTACGGACAAATTACAGGAACTATAAAATATCTTCAACAACAAATTTAAAATCAACGTTTGCCAAAAGAAAGACTCTAAAAGTAATCAGCTGTTGTCGTGACCGCCATCTTGTTTAACATTATTAATCAACACGCTGGGTTTGCGTGTTAAACTTTTTCGACGCTGCTTTATTTAAATCAAAACGCTAGCGAGTTGATTGAATATCGATATTTAATTAAACGTCTAGAGATTCAATTAACTCTCTGATTTAACTACTTTACTGCGACATATATACTGTTTATATTTATAATATCAGTACTGTTACTCGTTTCGCGAACATAGAAAGATGTCGGTTATATCCCACACAGTATTTTGTAGTAAGTAGGCGAAACACCTTAACGGAGCTCTCTGCAACTATCCAGTTGGCTATTTGTTAGAGATTTAATGAAAGGTACAGAATAAATATCGGAGTTTGACTACTGCATGATTGCATTGTGTTCGTGTATTTGTTATGTGCAAGTATTGTTTGTTTTTTTTGTTGTTTATCGTTTATGTGTTAACCTTTTTTAACGGATTTCAATTTGGAGGTTACTATAGAGCCTAGAAAAGTACTCTTTAAAAAAAACTATATAGTATTTTCGTTTATATATGTAGTTTTGTTTTGTGGCTAGGCGCGGGAGTAATATTTAATGCTACGTTCGTACCCCAGGTGTGTCTGTTGGAGTTTTCCATACAATAAGGAAACTAGTACGCTTAAGACACTAAAATTTACGTGACATTAAGCACGTAATTCTTATTAGGTAAAATTATAAAAATATATCTATTTTTTATTATTTTTGTAAATAATTAAACCAAGTTTCCTTTGCCATATCGTTCGTGCACCAACATTAGATAGTAAACTGTATATAGTAGGTAACAGTTGTAATGTATATATTAATTGTATATTTCTAGTAGATAAATATAATTTAAAGCTATTTAAAACTTTTGATAAAAAGCTTCATGCCTTCATTGTATGTGTTAAATTAACCAAGTAATTAGAAATATATTAAAGTAAAGTTGAAATTAATATTAAATAAAAAATAGTTATCTTGTAGTTTGCCTATAGTTAAAATTTTAATTTGTTATCATCTAAACAGTTTTATTCAATATTTATATAAATTATTAAATCATTAAAATAGTACTATTTACAAATAATTGAATTTCTACGCATGATAATTCAAAAAATGCTATTATGAATTCTCAATAAATAAGCATGATATGAAAAGTAGTACGCCCAATGAGTTTTTCGTTTTGAGCTATAATACGTGTAGACACCATTATATCAAAAAAGGAATTGTATGGACAAGGGTAAGACAGGCATAAAAATTAAAGATCAGGTAGACATGATGTCCTATTTAATGCGACTTAGTACTTTGCTATAGACAATTTAAAAAAAAATATTGTTTAATAAATGATGAATATATATTGTATATGTATCTATCATAAATATATAAACTAAAAGTACATATAACATCGAACAAACACTTATGGGGTTAACCCTTGGTGTCAGTGCAAATTTAAATTCTTTATAAACTAAAGAGTTAAAATGAAATACAAATATTAAACGAAAACATTACAACAAACAGAGAAAAAAAAACATTTTTGTACCTTATACATAATATTCTATCTATATATCTATCTTAATTTATGGAGCCAAGCAATCACATCCAGGTTGGCCAAAAATACCTTTTTAACAGCAGCTTCCAAATTCCACCGCTTGGGACCATTGGGAGCACTTTGGAAATAAAACGATTTAACATTTAAAAAAAAATCCACTTATAGTCAAAGAGATGTCAAAGTCAAAGCATTTATTTCAATTAGGCCTGCAAAGGCACTTTTGAAAGTCAAAACTATTTTAAAAAAATGAGTCTAGTTGCCACTTCCAAAAGTTAGTTTCTTGTGGATAAGAATGGGCAAGAAACTCCAATATGGGTATATGGGTATCATTTCTCATCAACGAATAATAATCAAATCTAAGTGTTATTCACATATAAATAATTATTATTCTTATTAAGCATTTATTGCTGTCACCCAGTATATAATATATAAACATTTGTTTTAGTTACATAACCTTAATTAATCTAATACATCAGATGTGCCGGTTTTGGAGATCAGCGTGTCTTGTGACAGCCTCTTCCAGCTGCTTTCATTATTTTCTAATAATAGCTATTCTTGTCCAATTTGTGGATCCTATTCTCTTTATATCGTCTGCCCATTTCTTGCTCTGTCTTCTCGTTGCCTTCCATCTCGTGGTTGCCATTCTGTAATAATTTTTGTCCATTTCAAAATTCCTGTAAATCTTTATGTTTTTGTATAAATTGTATAAAACGGGAATATTATCTATAATATTTTAAATTACATTGAAAAACTGCCGTGTTAACATTTAAAATATTGGAACACCCTGATGATTGTGAATCATGAATTTTAAGTGCTGTATATAAACAATGAAGATGCTTAATCGCTGACTGAGTTATTAGACTAGTGTGAAGAGACAAAAAGTCATAAACAATTGATATTTAATAAGCTGTATGCTTTACAGGGAAAGAAGCCAAAAACGGCTGCAGAGGCCCAAAAAGAGATTTTGGATGCTGAACTGGATATCATTACCAAACAACAGGTAATTATTATTTATATACATAGCTAATCTTTGTGTGTGTGATTAATGTGATTAAAAGTGATTTTGCAGTGCTATTTATGTAAAAATAAAAAAATGAGGTAAATTTAATGTAGAGAAAGTCATTATTTACATAAGTATATTATACGTAATGCTTAGAAAGCAATATCTCATAAACAACTGTAATGATTTTGATGACACTTAAAACTCTAACGATAACTTACTATACCTGATTTAACAAGCATCTTCTCAAAATTACTTTTGATTGCAATAAATATGTGTACTATCATACACATACGAAACTAGGCACGCGCTTGAAAGCCTAATTAGTTCTTCATACTCAAATATTATGTATTAACCTTCTTTTTTAATCTGTCTAAAGAAGAAAGCCTAAAAATGATATCAGATATTTTTCTATTGTATAATTAATATAAATATTTTTTACGTTCTGGTGTGTTACTTATTTTCTAGTAACAGTACCTATACAGGTATCAGAGAATTGGTGTATTATTCGAATTATCCTGCATTATTTTATCAACATATTTTAATTAATATTTTTGTGAATGTGTACGCGCATAAATAGGCATAACCAATGTTAATGTTTTCTTAATTTAAATCCATAGCTTATATTCGCTTGCTTTAAGAATAATTTTTCTTCTACAGGAGGGGCAAGACGTTACGGAATTGGCGAAGAAAATTGTAGACATGCGCCGCAAGATGTCCATACAGTTTCCATCTCACACAGGCGTTAGAAAAGTCCACTCTAGGTACCGTAAACGTATTGACATTTAAATTATATACTCTCTTTAATAAAATCCCAGAGACTCTTTTATCTCTCCCTTTAATTAATTTAAGAAATGTATTAAAGAAAAGCTGTGTAAAAAGGCTTACTATAAAGTTAACGATTATCTAGTTGATAAAAGGGCCTGGGACTAGTGCTAGACAGGCTACTTCTAATTAATTTGCGATATTTGTTTTAAAATAAGTGTTGTTTGATGATTTGCTATTTTAAAAGAGTACCGAGAGTTTTTTATGCCGGCATTTTCTCTCGGCCTACACTCTCTGTCTTCTTTGCCGATGAGTAGGGATTAATAATTTAATGACGTGGAATAAATAATACCTGTATCTTATATTCCATAATAAACTTATTATATTTTTATGGTTTTCAAGCTATCGAATTATCAGGAGAAGGCTTCGGTAAGACCGACTCTATTGATCATTATTTTAACATATAATCCTAATTAAAAGATATGGAGTGTAGAACGTTAGAGTAAATATTATTTGCTTACTTTTCAAATAGGTATACATATATTGTTCTAGCAAATACACTCCGAAAGTACAGAACCGATTTTGATAATTAAATTTTCAGTCATTTAGTATTTGATTTAAAATGTTGTACATACCAATTTAGAATTTACCCTTAATCACCAAAATCAGTTACCACTATTTTAGCTAAAATACTGTCCCTTTTTATCACAGCGTAAACACAATTTGACAGAAAAAGACGAAAGACCTGTTAGTTATTAATATATGGCAAATATTTGAGAGTTATCTTTTTCCAGGGGTGGTCGTTTTAACCCCGCAATGCGTTACACGCGCAACGCAGCCGCACCGGCCCCGAAGACGTTCAGCGATTTGTCTGTCGATCACCGGCCTCGCACTCTGCTGATATCCGGCTTTGAACCGGATGAATTGGAGGCCGTGCAGACTCATTTTGCGGTAGGTTAACACTGCTCTATTTATTATTGTTCATTGTTGTTGTTTCTTTGTATACTTTTAGTTTTTTTTTGTGTTGGGTAACTGTTAAGAGCAATGTTGGCCTAGTGGCTTCAGCGTGCGACTCTCATCCTTGAAGTCGTAGGTTCGATTTACTGTGCACCAATGGACTTTCTATGTGCGCATTTAACATTCGCTCGAACGGTGAAGGAAAACATCGTGAGGAAACCGGCTTGCCTTAGACCCCAAAAAGTCGACAGCGTTCGTCAGGCACAGGCGGCTGATCACTTACTTGCCTATTAGATTAACAAATGATCATGAAACAGATATCTGAGGCCCAGACCTAAAAAAGGTTTTAGCGCCATTGATTTATTTAACTGTTAAGTGATTAATAATAGGTTCACAAAAGCTGTGTATTGTTTTTAAAGTTATAACAGAACAAAAGTTTCTATAATCATAAGTCTATATTGTCTTTGGTTTACGTGAGTAGTAATAGTAATACATCCAACTATGATTAAAGGAGAATAAAAAATTAATATATGTTTATCTTACAGAAATATGGAGAGATTGTCGGTAAAGTCGTGAACATGTCAGTCCCGGAACTGACGGTGCAGTACAAAATCCGACCCCAAGCTGAAATGGCTCTGATGCGAGGAAGGAACTACAATGATCGGACGCTCAGTGTAAGTGTTTTGATATATCTTCTCTATATATAAAATTCTCTTGTCACAATGTTCGTTCCCATACTGCTCCGAAACGGCTCGACCTATTATGAAATTGTTTATGCATATTCAGTAAGTCTGAGAATCAGCTAATATCTATATTTCAAACCCCTAAGTGATAAGGGGTGTCCACCCTAAAAATTATTTTTTTATTTATTAGACATTTTTTTTTATGATACAGCATACAAAAATACATACAACCCTTAATTTTCAACCCTCTACGATCAACCCCTATTTTTTATTATTGTAAATAGTTATTTTTATTGAACTAAAAAAATGTTTCCTAGAAATAATATACATGGCAAAACAACGTTTGCCGGGTCAGCTAGTAATATATAAAGTAATATATAACTAGGTACTATAATAAATACGTAGAACCAAGGTATAATGAGATCAATTTAAGCAATGTTTTTTATTTATATTTTGATGAATGAGAAAACTTTAGTAGAGATATGGTAATATAAACATTTATTTTTCTTCATTATCATGCCTTTTTCCCGAAGGGGTAGGCAAAGACAACGGATATCTTGCTACGGTCCTGTTATACCTCACTCGCTTCATCCACTTTCATGGCATTCCCCATGCATCATTTGTTATGGGTTCTTTTAACTTGTCCATTGTCTAGTATCTCCTGGATATGGTTCAGGTACGACAAGGCCAACCCGATTTCACCATCTACTGTTGCTTTGTATATCCCACTTGTTAACCGCTTCTCATTCATCCGTTCTTCATGGCCAAACCACCTAAGCATTCCCTTTCGTATCCAAATTCGAATCCAAAATCATTTATTCATTTAGGTAACACAATGTACACTTATGAACGTAAAGTTTTTGTTTTACTAAATGTTTGTAAGGCTGTAATCATTACACCAAGTTTCACATGATATCTTTAAGTAACTAACAATAATAATAAAAAAAAAAACAAAGATTTGGCCCCTATCAGCAGTAGGCATGGTGAAAAAAGAGTACGCACTTACATTCTCGTGGGAACAACACGCAAATACAGTTGAAATAACTAAAATCACGGCAAACAAGTCGAACATACGAATTCAAGTTCGACCAGTCACCACAAGTAGCACCCGTTCAGCATCACATCACACACTGTTCACGTATCTTTATTATAAAAAGTTTAATTATTTCCAAAGCTAGTTTAAACCAACATATTTTTTTTGTATTTTAGATAACGTGGGTAGCCAACAATAAGCCTCTTGGAGCAGCGCCAAGCGCGACCCAAAATGGAGATGCGCCAGCGCAGGAGAACAGTAAGGATACGCAGGTAACTTTGACACTTATTCAAATCTATCAAAGGGTATATAGAAAGTTTTTTCTTATAGAACAGAGGGCAAACGGGCAGGAGGCTCATCTTATGTTATGTGATACCGCCGCCCATAGACACTCTCAATGCCAGAGGGCTCGCGAGTGAGTTGCAGGCCTTTTAAGAATTGGTATGGTCTTTTGTTATACACAAATTATTATAAATGTATGTGCATTTAAAATTCACCTAAATGAGTGGCTCTGAAGGCGGTAAATGGTCTCATTAGTGAAAAAGTACTTTGCAAAAAGCTAATGTCCTTGCCTCCATAGAACCAGGAGCAAAGCGAGGACTTCCGTTTCGATGAGGAAGATGAGGATGAAGCCGACGAAGAAAGGTCTTGGAGGCGTTGACGCTGCGCTGGCCGCTAGCTAGACTAGCGATTTATAATAACACATAAAATAGAAATTTACATTTGACATTGAAACTTAACTTAGGCCTCACTGCGGTTAGCGTTAAACCAGCAATTTTTAACCGCAAAAGAAATGCGGGTTTTCTCTCATATATTATGTCATAAATATATCAGCAATATTCATATACAATTTAACTTATTATTCACTTTATAGATTAACTAAACTAAGTATGGTATTAGTAGACACAAATTTTTTGAATATATATATAGTACATAACAATGAAGTATTTATCACTTAGCTCATATAGGTGGCATTAACGCTTTGCGGTTAGAAGCTGCGGGGAAAATCACAGTGCGGCCTATTTAATACACCTTAATACTGGGCTAACTATATGTTGTTAATAACGTTTTGGCTTTTAATAATTGTTTTTATTGTAAATACTTTTGCTAAATTGAATAATTCAAATGAAATGGCAATCAGTCCGAAATAGTTAACAACGCATATATAATTACGTACTGTAAAGGATTTTAGCTAATTAAATTTCAATAAAACAACAATTTAAATAATGGCAAAGATTCTAGCTGATAAATAAGGATTTTGGATTCATAAAAATGTGCTTCAAATACTTGGGTATTGTCGAGGTATAGGAAAACATTTTGTATGAAATTTAACAAAGGCGATCTTTAAATCTTTTTAGACTATCTTTTCGTATTGAATATCTTTAAATATATTTCACTTCCATTGTCACTTTTTACTTAACTTTCTACTGAATTTAGGCGTTCGTTTCTTCGGAATATGGGTTCCAACTATATCTGTCAATATTCTCATCTAGTCGTCAATACTACGTTGTAACTTAGACAAAAGTGTAAGCACGAAGTGTGACCCGCTCACGCCAATCAATTGTTTATGAATATGGTCACGTGACCGGGAGATATCCGCGCCACTAACCAGTTGCCGGTGGTTCTTTGCGGTTTTTAATGTATTTAAAGTGAGTTAAAGAAAAATTTTATTTATGGTTCCTGTCGTTCTGTCATTTACATATTAGTCTTACACAATAGTGTCCCGTTAACGTGAAACCAGTTAAACTTTAGTACATTATGAATTAGACTGTTAAGGTAGATTAGCCTAGACTCAGGTTTCGAAATTGCCTTGTATTGTTCGTCATTTCAATTTACAGAAACATATTCCAGTTTCAATAGTTTGACGTGTCTTCCTAACTTTTCCATTCACCTAGATGGTGTTACGCGAAATATAAAGTGATAATATAACCTATATTTTGTCGTATCACATGATTTATACACAAATGGAAGATTTTGTCGTCAAGAATTTGTCTCTGAATATATTAAAAACTTGCCAAGTGCAACAGCATAAACTTCATACTGGGGTTTACACAAAATCTGTTTACGACAGGTGACGACCCACAAAGGAATTTGTATGTGAATGACATTAGCTCGTGTCACGAGACCGTTTTCATACAAATCCCTTTGGGTGGGTCACGAATGTCGCAAAGTGATTTTGTCTTGAGCCCGCGAAATAGTCAATTGTCATTATTGACAGTTTCGATAAGTATAATTTTCGAAACGATAGACGGAACATATATAAAAAGGTTGTTTATATTTACGTACAGTTGATTGGTGCAATATTAGGTAACTGTCAAAATAACTAAATAATGACAATACAGATGAGAAGTTAAGTTAATCGCAGACACGTGAAATCTTTGACAATTGACTGTTTCAAAGATGCTAGAATTTGACAATCTGACGTACCATAGTGACTTTGCCATAGTGACTTAAATGTTTAAATAACTTATATATTTAGTAATCGATATTTATACTATATATAAGAATAAATTCTAAAACAGCTGAAAACGCTTCATAAAATAAGTATATAAATATTTAAAATTAAAGTAGCCTCTAGGATTGTTATACATTAGGAATAAACAATTTTAAATATTTTTTATCTATTTTGCAATGTCAAATTCAGTTATTTTAACTACTTTAGTACTGTATAGTACATACAAAATTGACACCATCTTGGCGCAAAGTTAAATATGTTTAAAAATGGAAATATTATAAAAAAAATTAACTCGTACTATACAATAACATTTTTCTTTGCTTTTTAATAAGATTAATAATTGATTTCACATATATCCTAGGCTGCTGTGTACAACGTAAATATCTACATTATAGTTGGTAACTTGTACCTCATATTAAAGCAATACATATATATATTTGATATACACGCGTAGTTTTACACATAGTTGTATGTCCCAATTGGCAAGTATTTGTAATGTACCGAAAGTACTAAGCTATGTTTACATAGAAACAAATGAAAGTTACAATTTGAAGGGATTATTGTGCGAAATTATTTGCTATTAGTATGCAAAATTGAGCGCTCGAATACTGTCTTTGTGTAGTCCTAGCTGTGTACACCAATCCAATAAAAGTCTCGTAAGATGAGAAACAATATTCTAGAAATGGTGAACATTTGGAACACCACGCTTATTGACACTAGACAAACATATCGTCATAGTCGTAGAATAGTGACGGATCTGACAAATAGAAAACTTTACAGGGCAGCCATTTTAAAATAATATAATGTTGTTAGTTTTTTTGTCATAACTTTTTTAATTCATATTCTGTTATTATGAAATTTTGAAACAAAATAAAAATAATAACATTAAATTACACAGCTTTCTAGAAAAATCACATGCTTCTATGAGAGTCTATCAAATCCGTCGCTTTACCGACTGATTAATTTGAAATTTAAATCACATGGATTTTTTTTAATGTAGCCGTATTTAGTCAATGTAGTATCCAAATATGATAAAAAGTGGATTTTGGATTTTTTTCAAATCCGACATTGTTCTACGATCATGACGATATGTACTTTGAGAGATAGAGAGGTATATACTGACATATGTCACTCAATTGACACGAACTCGCCTTTCACTTGAAATATTTGCAAAGACAGTAGTAGAAGAATAGAAGTGAAAGTGCCTGCCTATGTCGAAAATTATATTTGCCAATTAGGACGATGCTAGTGTTTTTTAGCAAAGCTAGCTTAGAATTTTTGAATATACACAAGTAGAAATTTAAACAATACGTACAAAATGATAACTCAACATTAGTGTAGTGGATTTTTCTGACAGCATAAATGGCCTTATTCACGTAATATACAAGGAATAAATCGCAGAACGTTTTTGTCTATTTGATAGTTGACATTATTACTAGTCTTTTATAATATACACACGTTACACGCAATCCCAAAACTAATTATTCCAAAATAAACGTCATAAAGATTCAATGATAGGCAATATTGTAGAGACGTGGAACGCGAGCCTGATTCGTGTGCAAATTCTAATAAATCCAAATAATTTAGTTTGTGGGTAATAAATCGGTGCCTTGTACATTCAAACGTGAAATTTTAGCAGTTATTAAATTGATGTCATTTAGAGATTTTATTATACATGCTACAAGAATGCGTTTAGCCATAATGACTATTAACCATATCATGATACTGAGTATATTTGATGTAGATTGATATAATTCATTTATTGGTTGTGTTAGGAGCGACGGACGAAGGATTGGCCAAAAATATTGGACAGTGTACTTGGTTTATATGTTACAATAATATTTTGTGGTTTTTGAATAGTTCGTTATTTTTAGCAATTTTGCTGAAATCATATTTAATCAACTTCTACATTTTTCGCGCTAATGCGTGCTTTCAAGCTGTTGACATCCGTTCTAAATAGCAGCGCTCTTACGAATGGCGTTTGCCAACGGAACATGCTTACAGGTGGTTTTAATAAAATTGAACTACCCTCATTTTTTCATTATATTGTACTCGCTTAGTTATAATTAAATAGTTGTTTTTGTTATTGTGTGGATTTAACTGCATATTATAGATATAGATTTTTATTGTTACCTAGGGTAGTTTGTAAAAATGGGTAATTTTCAGCGCTATTTTTTGTTAATATCTAGGTGATTTAGTTTTTTTTTTAAATTATTACCTGAAAATTGCCCATTGTAAATAGGTTTTTCGTATACTTAAGATTCTTAATGTAATGTAGAATTTAGTTTTATTAACGTGTTAACTGACTTAGATGTATGACCTGTACAAAGAAAAAAATTAAGAATACCGTCAACAAAAAATTACACCAAATATTATATTATGACGGCTAAAAAATATTTTTTAATAAAGTCAGTGCATGAGGCGGTGAATAATTGTAACACAAGAAAAAAAAGGCTTGTGGGTTTTTTGTTGTTTGTAAAAAATGTTTGCAAAAAAATTGTAACCGCCCAAAAAAAAAAAGTTTCCCCGTTTCACGACATAAACGTTACAGCTTCGGCTGATTTTTTTATCTTTCAGCTACTTCGTTTCATATGGTATGTTTTTTAAGGTTTGTATTGTTTTACAGACTTGTGCAGAGTGTTCTAGGCCTAGGGAATCTGGATAGCTTCTGTTTAAGCTTTTGCATAGATTTTATCGCAGGCTCTGAGCGCGGCGACCGAATCAAGAAATTCCGTAACGAAAATAAAAACCTAACACACGATGACGTAATATAGGTGCGCCCAATACGCGTTAGTGCGGGACAGAATGCATACTGCGTCTCACATCGGTCTGGCGTGATCGATGACGTAGCGCAGGTGCGTTAGAGTGGGACAGAACGCATACTGCGTATTCACATCTAATGAACAATTCACAGTATTGAAGAGCGGCCGGTGCAGCCGGTACGCGTTAGAGTGAGACAGACTATATAGGCGTGTTAGTCTGCGTCTGGTAGAGTGGTTGATTGAATTAACATCAAAGAAAAAACTTGAATTAATATCAAAGAAAAACTGCATAAATAAAAAATAAATAAATAATTATAATTGCATAAGTTGATGAAAATTGCTATGCAATAGTTTTACCGCGGCAGTCCCCGAGTGCCACACGTTTCTATTTATTCTTCTTTCATTTAGAATAATATTTTATATTCTTGCTTGCTCTGATCATTA